TCCCTTTCAATCCCGTCTTAAATAACCCGACCTTACCCCTACCAAAAATACCATACCCGGCCCGGCCTTCTTTTGGATTTATAGCACCCCCGTTCCCATTCCATTCCCCCATTCCCCATCCAAACGGGCCGGAACCAAAAAAGTATATCTCAACGGGCACGGCATGCGTTCATGTATTGTAAGTATTGTATGCGGTCCAAAGAGTAGTATTGGCCAGGCAAGCAGTCAGCCATGAAAACACACCAAAAGCAACCATCGCAACACCAAAGAAAAACCCCGAAAGTCCGCGCTCCCGATTCGACATGAGAATCACGGAAGGATAATCATGCCATGGAGAATCAGTTAGTCAGTCAGTCAGTCGGGCTTTTTGTAATGATAGTCCATTCCCGTCGACAATTTTACTTTATTTTACTTTTTTACCTTTTTCCCTTTTTGAGTTTCCCCCTCCCGTTCGTTCGCGTGGCATGCTGGATACTTTTACTTGCTTACTTACTTACTTGCTGACTTATCACGCCACTCTAACGCGCCGGGTTCTAGGAGCCCTTTTCCTTCCTCCGTGATCTGAGGGTAATGTTGTAATGTTGTAATGTAGTTATTTATACACCATCGCTATTCCACATGCAGACATTCCGCAACCCAATAATGCATGACACTTTGATCGATAGAGTAATACAGCGACCTATACTTTTCATATGGAGATGGAGATGGAGATCTAGAATCAAAACTGTAAAGCGATCGTCCCTGTCGGCCTCGCCTTCATGTCGTCTTACAAACACTAACTAACAAATCTTCTCGGAATCCGCAACCTTAACTTTCATGACTAATTCACTCATCCGATTGGTAAGGTTATTTTACACGCTGTCTAGATTCTCTTTAGTTACCTACCTACTCTGAGTATTCTATTATTTCCGTGTATGATATGATATGATATGATATTTCCTAAGATCTTATACTACATCTATAAGACGCAAAAACACAAAACACACACAACGAAACAACCAAACAAACAAGAAACAGCCGACCAAACCACCCAAAGGGGAAATCCCACATCTTCCCCTCCTCTCCTTCACTTTCCTTCTCATCCGTGACTGATACACTACTCAGCCCAGCCAAGCAGTACTGAAAAAAGTAACGAACGACATCTCCTCGAGTACATGCGTACGTGGACAGAATATTCGCATACATCTAAGCCACAGGATCTCCGTTTATTCTATCTATCTCTCTCCCTAACGATTTCTCTCCCTACCTAACTATCCATCTGCAATCTCTAATCCTAATCGCCAATCGCCAATCCAAAACATAGAATCTAGAATCTAAAATCTAAAATCTCAATATATGCCCGCCTCCAAAGTAAAATGTAACCCCATGAAACGAACTACCAAGTACTATGTTGATCATATCATATCACATCACATCATATCATATCATATCATATAAAATTCATCCTCTCAAATCCATAATCATAACCATAATCGTAACTGTAATCTAAATCTAATCAATCAATATCTTCCAGGTCCTCTGTAATCTTATTCCGACAACCACAAGCATACAAGCACAAACACTGCGATCTTTCATTTCATATTCATCACAGCTGTTTTCTTTAACCTACCCCATCCTCAATCTAAAAATCTACACCCACAATGCCGTAATGCCACCCATCCTAAAAACACCACAATGCTACATAATAAAAGTCACAAAAGATGTTACAATACCTCCAACCCCATCCTAAAATACCACACCATAACACAATACCCTGAGTATAAGAACACCACCATGCCACAAAAAAAATCCACCATAATACTCTATATATCCCCAATATACCCAAGTACCTAGTCTAGATACATAGCCTACATAACCTACACAAAAACAAATGACATGTATAAACGACCCATCACATTACATCACCGCTATGCTATGCTTTCCATACCTACATAGATGCATCGGAGGTGACACCGACGCCGCCATGTCACGTTAAAATTTCACGTATGGATGGAGTATCATCTCATGTATCATCTAATTCTATGTACTCGCTGTTTACGCTGTCTAGGTATTGGATAATACACACGTCGTAATACTGATACTACGCTGCTCCAAAAAAAAAACTCTAAAAAGAACTAATGCACGCGCCATGATTTTCCATCTCTCATTTCATTCGCTCTCATCTTCCGTTGACCAATTAGACGGATTCATCGTGGCTTTTCTCTATAGTAGTAGTGACGTCTAGATCGTCCCCAGATTGAGTCGAGACCGTATCGGCAATTGCTTGATTAGTCGCTTCCGCAACTTCTTCTACACCACTTTTTCCTTCACTATCCCCATTCCCATTCCCACTCCCACTTTCATGTTCATTTTCACTACTCAACACCCCCGCAATCGTAGAATGGCCTTCTGCGTGTTCTAGCTCTTCTTTTTTATGAAAAGTGTGTGATTCTGAAAGATTGACGGCGAGGAAACTCTTGGGAAGTTTGACTCTGTTCATTCGTATCGATTAGCATTTTTTCCATCTCCAAATCCTTCAAAAACAGATGATAAGGTAAAGAGGAGTAGAATAAAACATACTGATGAAATTTCGCCCTCAACGTATCAATAACATATTTCCAGTCCGCATGAGCTGTCAAACTTCTTCTAGGCGCACAACTAATACTATGTTTACTATCCAGCTGTACATCTAACGGATCAAACGTGTGAGCACCTGGACTAATGGTGATACGAATGGTATATGCATATTTAGCTACATCCTGAGCGTCGACTGGAGTCTTATTTTCGGATTCGTAGAGCTCGAAACATATTTGTGAGAGATAATCGAGTTCGGGAATGGCACTTCGTTTAATCTTGGTCTCAATTCCTCCTTCGAGAATACAGTTAAGAAGTGTGTAAATATGAGATTCTTTGGTGAAGTACACGAATGCTTTGGCATCATCGGAGGCTTGCATTTCTTCGAGATCTTGGACGATTTCCTGTTTCTTGTGAGATGAATAACCATTGACGATTTATTATACTCTTACCTTTAACAATGGAAGTGATGTCAAAAGACCAATCTCAAGTTTCTCAGAATCTGCGATACCATATTCTTGTGGGCAGATGAAATCGAACAAGACTTTCGACAACTTGTATAATTCTCGCAATTTCTCCAAGCGAGCGTCAGTTTTGGCTTTCGTCTGGCTGCTACCAGTAAAAAGTCGGAAATACTAGAGTCGTCAGCTGAGTTCAACTTTGTTTCCACACAACCACTCACCGATTCTTCCTCACTGTTCTTTCCATTCAATACGGACTTCCTCCTGAACATGCGTCGATGGAGTGTCCTATTAGCTTCAACCCTCTCCGGTGGTACGGTCTCATCTTTGGTACTTTCCGAGTTTTTGGATCTATCTTTCTCCCAAGCAAGCTCGATTTCCTCCTCCTCAAGAATGCTTTTGCTTGGGGTGAAAACCCACTCAAGAAATTGACGATTGTGAAGGGCGTCAAACTTCATGGTATCGTACAACTCGGATATTTTGCTTGGATCGACTTTTTCAGGATCAGAAAATTCGTTAAAAAGCTTCTCCCAGCGCTCCCTGAAGAGCTCGGCATCTTCACCACAGCACCAACGAGCCTGAATGCTGCTTGTAGCGTTTGCTTGTGACATTGCCGATCCCATAGCCGAACCTGCTCCTTTACTTTCCTTATCGCCTGGGTTAACAATTGCATTTAGTGACGTAGTAGCGCTACCATAAAGTTTACTAAAATTATTACGCATGACTCTCCTGTGAAATTTCATCAAATGAACAACGTATTTCTGCACGATTGATGGTTCTGGCATCTCCGCTGGCCAAGCAAATTCGGGAGGCGCCTCATTTCCTTGCCTCAAGAGAGTCTTGAGCTTCTTCTTGACTTTGTCCATCTCATCTTTAGCTGCATTGGAATCATCAAGCAAATCTTTGCGAATGGTAATGAAGTCAGATGCTAAATCCTTTTGGTCTGTGAAAGCGGATGCCCAGATTTGAGCGCTGGTTGTGACACGTCTCTCGGAGCTGCTGAATACATGAACTTCATCAAGAATATCCTTGTTCATCAACTGAAGGTCATTTCGCATGCTTTCACCCAGCTCTTGTGCTTGATATCTAGCTGAGTGAGTAGGCTCGCCACCCCATTTGACGATGAGCTGTAGCTTGTCTAGTACAAGACTTTCCTCTGCTGCAGTTATACGGGATAAAGTAACACCCGATAAAGAATCGTGACGAGTGGGTGATCGTCTATCAAGGTCTGTAATACTCTTTGGCTTCTCTGATGATTTTGTTGATTCCGAGTTTTCAAGACTTGAATTGGCTGTAGCAAGATTTTCCGTAGCAGGGAGTGGTATCTCAGGATTCAAAGATTCTTCCGGCTTTCTTTTTCGAAACATGGGCTTGATTTGTACTTTCGTGCCTGCCCATCCCCCTTTCTTCACTAGAACGTTTCTTAGTGATTTGAGCTTTTCTGTATCTTCGATACCTTCATGTGCTGCGGCATCAACAGCAAGCATAACGCTATCCAATGCAGCTTCGCCTATCAAGAGCACTTCTTCTTGGTGGCCTTTTAAAAGATCGATAAAAGGTTTGGTGTGGAATGTATATTTGTATTTCTGCTTAGGTGTGCGATCAGCATGTCGAATCACAGATACCATACCTTTCAACTTCCACGTATGTTTTGGTGCTGGTGGGGGTAACGTTTCTTGATCTTGCGCAGGAGTAGGCGTTGGCGTAGGAGGGATAGTAGACGCAGCGGATGGCACTTCGCTTGGAACCGACACTGCAGGTGGTGGCAACATATCTGCAGATGGTATCGCCGAGGCGTCTTGTTCTACAACCAGAGGCGGGGAAGTCTTTGGCGTTGGAACAACTGAAGTGCCGAATTGAGGAGAACCCGAAGTGGAAAGTCTATGTGATCCTTGATTAGGTAGATGTCCATGAAGCATGTTTGACATACTTGGTGATTTGGAAAGGATGTTTTGTAAGGCTGACCGATGATTGTCCTTCAGTCCTGTCTCTTTTCTAATAGTAGTAGGGCTCATGGCGCCGTCAACAGGGGATGTTACACCACTAACGGGCAGTGACTGCCCGTTCTTTTTCTGCTTTTCGCTGACGAACATATCTTTCAATATACGAGCACATTGCTCATAATATTCTTCATTGTCTTTTACAAAACTCCATCCATTGACATCAATAACATAGCTCTTTCCTTGAGCACGTAAAAGATCGAAACCACATACTCGCTGACCAAAGCTATTCGCAATTCGAGTGGCCATAGCAGATTCTTCTTTTGTGAGAGCTGTGACGTAACGGATTTCCTTGCCATGAGTGTTGCGTCTAACCAGACCATCAACAACGGGAGATTTGCGAGTTTCGGCATGGCAAAAGGTCGGTCCAACGGTATATGCTTTCACATCCTCGGCATTGTCGACGCGCATGAACTTCTCATACAGATAGCTGCTCCCTGGTTCAGAAATGGCTCGAGGAATCGTGAGATCCTCCACATGTTCGGAACTCTTGTTGCCAATCTTCCGAAAAAGCTTACGGCCCCCTCCGCCTTGACTTTGTGGATAATATATACAGACATTGTGATCTTCACCACTGACTGGCTTTTCCACAAACGGCTTAGCCAATAGCACACCATCGACACTCAAAGTGTCCCCGTTGTCGATAAGCTCAACTTTCTTGGGAGCCACCATTTGGCCACCGGTCCCATCCTCGGGTCCTTCCAAGACAAGACCTGTAGTGTTCTTCAAATGTTTTGCCAGCTCCGGGGTGAAGACAGCCGGACCTCCATCCCGATTTACTTCTATACGCCTCGGTGTTGGTACATTTATTTTGTCGAGAATTCGTAAACAGATCCTGCGATCCCATAGAATCTTTTGCATAGGAACATCATTGACACAGAATGGCTTTCTCGCCTGTACATATGCAATGGCCTTGTCGAGCGGAAAACCGTCTGAGTAGAAAGATATCAAGAAATCACAGATAGGCCAATTCTCTACCTCCTCATCCAATATGACTTTATCCCCAAAGACGATGACTTCAAATTCACCTTTCGAGATCAAGCGATTTAGAATGTTTCGACTCGGCTTGCTTCGTGCTTTGATATCCAAAGCACATACTCCTATCACGCCCCAAGGTGCTGGTTTATTCTCATCCTCTTTTTTCAAATGTAGGCCCCTCTCACTACTAGGACTGTGGCTGCTGGCGCCAGTGCTACCACTGAAGCGTCTCTTTGCTCGACTCCTTGATCTTTGTGGAGGCTGAGGTCGTGGTTGAGCCTCGCCTCTGGCAACCGAATTTCGTTTTGCAAGCTCTGCGGCTTGAGCTGGCGATTCCCTCGCTGTGAGTTGATGTCCATTTGGTGCACTGGGTCCACCGGAAGATGTTGTCACAGAGACATTTGACGTTTCTGCTTGAGATATACCTGGCCCCTTACTCGATGAGGCTGAAGCTGTAGTCGCTCGTGTGCTTCCTCCATTGTCAGAACCAGTCGCAGATGCCGCAGAGCTTATTACCCCGCCTGCCCTTGCTGAGGTCAAGGAGTACATTGACGAGACTGACATTCGCTTCCCATCCACCTCCGTAACAGATGCTTGAGGGCGAAGAGCAGGGTCGGGGAGTGGCACGGGTGTGCTTTTATTATCGTCTGCCATTGTTGAATTCGTCTTGAGAGGGTCAGATTCCTCAACAGCAAAATCTTGATGACTTGTTCCTGCGCCTGCTAAATTTGTGGCTTCTTTTAAAACTTCCAATGCGGCTGGCGGTCGCTGGCTATATGTTGAGGAGGTTCTAGACTTGGACAAAGGTCTTGTGGTAGGTGGTGGCATAGAAATACTTGCTCGTTCGGAATTGAGCTCTGTGTGTATCAATGGTTCTGCATGCCTTCCTTTCCTGCCCAATGACGCAAGAATGCCGTTGCCGATGGCAGCAGATAGACTGTACGAGTTTGTTCTTGCTTTAATTCTCGGGCTCGAGTCCTTTGTTGATTGTTCTTCCTGGCTTGAAGAATTGGGTTTGTTGAATGGAGAAAAGCCCACCGCCTGTTTATCGGCACTGGGATCATTAGTTTCCATGACGGCATTCTCACCTGCTTGTGCCATAACTGATTGCGGAAACCTTGTTAACGATATCTAAGATTCTAAGATATGCAGGTAGGTTTGGAGAATGCTACCAATTCGAGTCTTATGAATGAAATATCAAATTTGGCAAGAGGAATTTGGTATAAGGAAACAAATCGCCTACGGCTACAGTGGATTTCATCCAAAAATACTTGATCGCTCGCAGTTCAGTCAAAGGGTAGGTTGGAGGAGAAGAAGGATATTGTCCTTTTTTTATTTTCCAAGGTTACACAGCCTTATCGTGGCAGATGACGATTAACGCGGCAAGGAAGCATTAAAAGAGGGACGACGAATGAGATGATGGAGCACTATCAAAAACTCTCGAGATGGCGAGGAAGATAGGTACCTACCTACCTACGGAGCGCAGAGAGTAGCATTTCTCCATGGTTCGGAAACGTAGGAGAGACGCACGTCATGATCAATGAGAGAGAGGATGAGGCTGACAGACTGCGGGCAGGGGAAGAGGGAAAGCAAGTTGTAGTGTAGTGTAGTTGTACACTGCAACTGCACTGGCGCTGGCGCTGTGTGATAATAAATAGTAACGATGCTACGGTACCTAATAATCGCCCACTTATTACCATGACAGGGCTGTTTTTCAGCGATAAGCCGGGTCGGCTCATCCCCACGAATAACACCCACCAGTCCCTACAGGGATTAATTGATTGACCTACTAGGCAAAAGGAAAAAAAGTTCCTCATAGAAATATTATTGTATTTTTTGATCATATTGGATCCTATCAACAACGGCGCGCAAAACCAAGCGCATTTTATATAGAGGAGTATACTTAAGAGATTAAGATGCCCTCATCTACTGCTGCCAATGCCCAAGATGGTCCAATTGTTAAAAGACAAAAATTGAACGTTGCTGATGCGCCGAAAAAAACTTTGAGAGAATCAAGAATCTTTACTCCATTTCGAGTTTGTCCCCCAGATTCTCCCGATCCAAAATTATGTTACTGACCTCTGCAAGACAATTGGTTTAGTATCTTCGACTTCCGTTCCCTTCACTTCGATACCACTCGGCAAAACCACTTTCCAAATCACAACCTCCGTAGGAAGATGTTTACAAACGTACGACCTTAAAAGAGGACTCAACCTTGTCTTCCTCACTAGACCACAGACACCAGCAGATATAACGGCTACGATAGCATGGAAAGATAAAGTCTTCGCAGCGTGGGGAGGTCAGGAAAATGATGGCCACCAGGGTCTTTGTGTATTCAAGAGAGGAAAGAGGATTGAGGAGATCCCAATCCCAGCAGACCTTAAGGAACCCATTAAACAAATTTTGGTCTTTGGCACTTGGATAGTAGGATGCTGTTCCACCAGGATAGAAGTATGGAAAACCTCGACATATGAGCATTACACGACCTTGTATACTACAGCAGCACAAAAGGGTGGAAATGAACTTACGGGCGGAATATGCAACATGCCAACATATTTAAACAAGATATTTGCAGGAAGGAAAGATGGTGGAGTCGAAATATGGAATGTCAGCTCGGGGAAACTGATTTACACCCTCTTACCACCAGGTCCAAACTGTGGAGCTGTGACCGCGCTACAACCCACGCCAGCATTATCTCTCCTGGCTATTGCGTACTCTGAAGGTCCACTGATAATTCATAATGTGCGAACGGATAAGACCGTCATTCACCTCAATGGCGGCGCATCTGAATCTACTATCACATCCATTTCTTTTCGTACAGATGATCTTGGAGCTGGAGAGGACGGCAAGAAGCCCGGAGTTATGGCAACGGCAGGTCCAGAGAATGGCGATGTGACATTCTGGGATCTCAATGGCGGTGGTAGAGTTATGGGGGTACTTCGAGGTGCCCACAATCCGCCTTCCGACTCCGGCGCGACGGTAAGCGGAGGACTGAGCAAAGTTGAGTTTCTCTCTGGGCAACCTGTCATAGTAACAAGTGGATTGGATAACTCTTTGAAATCCTGGATTTTTGATGAAGCGCCTTACTCTCCGATACCACGAATCTTGCACTCGCGTAGTGGCCACGCTGCACCAGTCACGCACCTCCAATTCTTACCTACCGACGCAGATGGAGCAGATGCTGGTGGAAAATGGCTTTTAAGTGCTGGTAAGGATCGCAGTTTATGGGGATGGAGTCTTCGAAAAGACGGACAAAGCACAGAATTAAGTCAGGGAAACATACGAAAGAAAGCGAAGAAAATGGGTATTCTGGCTCAATCCACATTAGCAAATGAGCCTAGCACGACCCTTGAGGATTTAAAGGCCCCAGAGATCGTGTGTCTAGCATCCTCACTGAATCGCGACGGTGGAATGGGTGCACATCCTGGAACTGGAGCAATTTGGCAAAAGGGTAATATGCAAAAGAAGGGTATGGACGCGACAGCGAGTGGCGTTACAGGCTGGGAGAGCGTTGTTACTGGCCACAAAGATGACAGGTTTGCACGGACGTGGTTTTGGGGAAGGAAGAAGGCTGGAAGATGGGCATTTGAAACTGGTGATGGAGGAAATGTCAGAAGCGTTACCATCAGCCCTTGTGGCACTTTCGCGGTCGTTGGGTCGGAAACTGGAGGACTTGATATGTTTAACCTTCAGTCTGGACTTCACCGACAACGATACCCCTCCAAACTTACGCCAGCTCAGGCGAGAAAGTTGAAGATACAGCAATTACAGGCAGCCGAGAGTGGGAAGGAAATATCCTCCGAGAAGGAAAAGAACTTCCAACCTGGACTTGGTAAACACAGAAAGGCTGTAACGGGAGTGGTGGTAGATTCTCTGAACCGGAATATTATTAGTTGCTCTCTCGATGGCAAGATAAAATTCTGGGAGTTTGGAACTGGTAACCTAGTCGATGAGATTGACTGGTTTCCGATGGCATCTATCACAGGGATGAGATATCATGCACCGAATGATCTTATTGCAGTTTCGTGCGATGACTTGTCTATTCGAGTTGTTGATATTGAGACTAAAAAGACCATCAGAGAGTTGTGGGGATGCCAGGGAGGAATTAATGACATGTGCTTTTCTAATGATGGGCGATGGATCATTTCAGCCTCGACCGACTGTGTGGTTCGAGTATGGGATCTTCCAACTGGTCATCTCATTGACGCAATGCGAATGGAAACCCAATGCACTGCACTTGCCTTTTCTGGAACAGGCGAGTTTCTAGCCACAACATGTGCAGGACAGGTTGGGGTCAATATATGGAACAACAAAACTCTTTTCACCCACGTCCCCACTCGACATATTTCCGAAAAGGAAATCGCTTCGATCACAGCACCAACGGTATCTGGAGAAGGTGGCCACAATGTCATCGATGGCGCATTCCAAGATGAGGATGAAAATACCGAAGATGCAGCTCCTGCTCTGTCACTTGATCAGCTAAGCAAAGATTTGATGACCCTAAGTGTAGTACCAAAGAGTAGATGGCAAACCCTTATTCACCTAGATCTTATAAAAGCCCGTAATAAGCCTACGGAAGCACCAAAATTGCCAGAAAAGGCACCTTTCTTCCTTCCATCCATCGATTCTGCCGCGGACCCATCAACACAAGAAGAAAATTCAACAGACAGCGCCGCGGAAAGATCAAGAATTATGAAACTCGACCGTATTGCGTCTGAACGTTCCTTTACAGTGACTCTCCGATCTGGCGGTGAATCAGGTGATTGTAAGTTGCACAACCCCTTTTCCACTTTCGTTTAATTGTTCATTTATTAACACACTACAGACACACCATTCATAGATCATCTCAAGACGCTGTCTCCTTCTGCTGCAGACCTTGAAATTCGCTCTCTCTCACCTACATCTAATGAGTTAATTCATTTTATCCATGCGCTTACGTCACGTCTTTCCCAAAAGAGAGATTACGAATTAGTGCAAGCATGGATGGCTGTATTCTTAAAATTACATAATGAAGAAGTGGCCAATAGTGAGGAATTAAGAAATGCAGTCATTGAATGGAGAGCACAACAAGAAAAGGAAGGCGCTAGATTGGGAGAATTGGTGGGTTGGTGTGGAGGTGTAGTAGGGTTTTTGAGAAGTCCTAGAACTTGAGAAATTGTGTTTGATAGTTTGTGTTAGAATTGTGTTAGTCACGGAGAGTATGAGATGCTATTGGGTAGATAGCTAATGTTATTGACGATGTCGTACGCACATGTTTGTTTTCAAACATCTTATAACATATAATTTATTCCGATAGCCTGCAATCATGCAGCCGATGCATTCTTTTAACCATATGGATATGCAACAAAATTTCCTAAATCGTTAGACTGAATTCCAACCGCAATCTTCAAATCGATGTTGGATAAACATGCCATGAGAAATTTCTCAAGTAATAGCTGTGCACGAGTCACTCATGGCTCTTCTAGTAAGATAGATAGATCTCTTAACGGCCGTTCCCACAAAAGAAGAAAATGCTAACTTATAAGTAGTAATGTAACCAACCAAACCTCAGATTTCAGCTACCTACCTAGACCAACCAATAGATTACCTGCAAACGAACGGAACTGCCATAAAAGGCAGGACCTAAGCTTCTTGACTCTTGAACTAGGTATCTATTTAAAGTTAAGGTTACCCCTCACCCAATCTCGATTCTCCGCACCGAAAATATTTCCATTAAGGTTATCCTTCGTTAACCTTAACCTTAACAATGGATGAACATCTACCACCCCTCAAACCTCAAACCTTTATTCCCCAGGTTCTCTACATCTCCACGTTTATTCATTCTTCCTCCAGATTTCAATAGCGTTTTGCAATGCAAACCTCTTTTGCCCCATGCGTGGTATGTACTCATGATCAAACGATCTATTCTCTACCCATCCGTCAATCTCGGAAATTGAAGCTTCTTTTGTCATGGACCCCGGTGTGCCGATGCTACGCTCTGGAAATGCGGGGGGCGAGGGTTTATAAGAAGGACCGAATGTTTGAATGTCTGCGGGGTTGCTGGCTTGCTTTCATCATGTGTACTTTGTTTTTTTTTCCTAGTTAGTAATCTTATACTTTGGTTTTTGGGCTGCGTCTCCTGAAGGTCCGATTAGTTCCTTTATTTAAGTTGGGGGTATAGGTCAGGTATTCTTACGTATACAGATTTTGAGGTATTAGCTACAGACTATATGAGTAAGCTGGTTGGGCTGTTGATGGATTGTTAAAGGTAGTTTCTTCCGTCTTGGCGGTTGAGTCGGTCATCGTTCTGGAATAAGGTCGTGATATTTGGATGAGGTGGGAAGAACAGTTGCCTTTTCTTGAGATTTTTGCTGTGGTGCTGTGTTTGATATCGACGGCTACTTTTGTCTCTATTTCGATCATTGGTATTGTCTTTTAGTAGCAATGAGTGAGCTTGGAATATTCCTCTGCCATGAAAGAGTTTGTAGCGGATCTAGAATTCAAATCTGGAGTAATATCTATACGTAAGTGCATTTTGGGCTACTTACACATGTTTTGTTGTTCGATCATATTTTTCACGAACTGCAGATATTACCGGCTTGGCATAATTTAGATCTCTTTATTTGCTTCATCAGTTCAGGCTCCGGAGTTTGGGTATGCCTATTGCATAGGTAGTCGCCGAGGATGCATATGTCCGTCGTCTGTACCTATTTTTTGCCTTCTAAAATCTACACTCAAGTTGAGAACTATAAAGAGCCAGAAGTCCTCTGACCATTAAATGAATCACTTCTTCTCCATCCGTCTCAACTGCATTGTACAAGCAATTCATCGAAGGAAATAAAATATGACGATTTCCAAGTCAGTTGGTGTTCTTCTTGCTTTAGCCGCCAATCTACTACCCGTCGTAGATTGTCATGGCTACATGGTCATTCCTTCTAGTAGAACTAGTCTTGGTCATTTAGTAAGTTTCATTATCCCACCTACAGTATCACACTAACGATTACAGGCTGGCATCGACACATGTCCTGAATGCACCATTCTTGAACCCGTCAGTTCCTGGCCTGATCTCGATGCCGCTCCCGTAGGACGCAGCGGTCCTTGTGGTTACAATGCCCGTGTAAGCGTCGACTACAACTTCCCAGCCACAAACTGGGGTAATTCCCCCGTGGCGACTTATACACCAGGTCAAGTAGTCGACGTACAATGGTGCGTCGACCACAATGGAGATCATGGTGGCATGTTCAGCTGGCGCATTTGCGAAGATCAATCTATCATCGACAAACTCATCACACCTGGATATACCCCTACGAATGCCGAGAAGCAAGCCGCAGAAGACTGCTTTGAGGCCGGTCTACTTCCTTGTACAGATGTCACCGGAGCTACTTGCGCTTACAATGGTGATTGCTCACCCGGGCAACCATGTTATCGAAATGACTGGTTCACTTGTAATGAATTCAACAGCGGGACTAAATGTCAAGGTGTCGATAATTCTGCTTTAGGTTCTTGCTATACATCTATCGCGGGAGGATATACAGTGACCAAGAAAGTCAAGATCCCAAACTTTACTTCCAATCACACACTCATATCTCTGAAATGGAATTCCTACCAAACAGGGCAAATCTATCTCACATGTGCTGATATCGCCATTGCCGGCTCGGGCACTGGTTCAGGTGGCGGTTCCTCAAGTACAACAACTAAAACATCCTCAACAACAAGCACCCTCAAAACATCCACAACCACCGCCACCACATCAAGCTGCACCGCAAACCCGACTCTCATCCCCGTATCCTTCAACGAACTCGCCACTACCACCTACGGTCAAACCATCAAAATCGCGGGCTCGGTTGCCGCACTAGGTAACTGGGATGTTTCATCCGCACCAGCATTATCAGCTTCTGCTTACACAAGTACAAATCCACTATGGTCAGCAACTATCATGTTGGCGCCGGGACAGGTGGTACAGTATAAATTTGTCAATGTGGCGAGTAGTGGGACCCCGACTTGGGAAAGTGATCCGAATCGTGTTTATACGGTGCCAGGGGGTTGTGTGACGACGGCGACGGTGGGGAGTACTTGGAAGAAATAGGTTGGGGGTTTGGGGGTTTGGGGGTTTGGGGGTTTGGGGGTTTGGGGGTTTGGGGGTGGGTGGATGGGTGAATAGGGGTGGATGGGTGAATAGGTGGATAGGGAGATGGGAGGGTAGGGTAGGATTGGGGATGGGATGGGTTTGGTGAAGTATATACTGCATTTAGAAGAAAAAAGGAGAAGACATAAAAATTGCATTAGCTATAACATCAGGATTATCATAATACCTCAAAATCACTCGGGCTTGAAATACAAATCCTTCCTTCCTTGCCAATGGGTACTTCCGTTTTTGCCATGGTAGTGGATATAAATTTATTTATTGAAGGTTGATAATAAAAGTCCTACAGATTAAAACCAAGACAATCCTCCTATCCAAGTCATTTCCACAGATAGCCCATCAACAAATCCTCAAGCTAGGTTCATATTCGATTAGAACCTAATCAATGTTAGGAGACATCGTATCTATATATATGTAACAATAACTCATCTCACTCAGTCAAGCCATATATATGCACAGCGCACTCTAATATCCAATATCCAATCTCTCTCTCATCTCTCTACTCGGCGGTGCCGCGCTTCCCCACAGGCATTCACCTAAAACTCGAGACAACCTATCCTCCCACTTATTATTAGCGGAAGTTTTACTAGATGAGGAATTTTCGTAGGAGTGGTCCAGTTGTGTAGAGTAACCTATTTACATGTAATTAATCTTACCTGCGAACTTCAGGATTAAGAAAAAAGGTAAGATCTTACATTGCATAAAGAATTTCATAAGTAGGTATAATTTAATAATAGAAATTTGAATTTTAAAATAGCAAGGGAGATGAATAAGGAAGATATCGATCATGAAGGGGACAGAAAGAATAGATTATTGAATTTCTAGTGGGGTGGTTTGAATGAATGTAAGTAGGTAGGTAGGTAGTTTGAAGAAAGATCTCATGTATAAGAAGTATTTAGGGATATAAATAGTTGGTAGAAAGGAGTATATAATTATTAATTATTAATTATAAGTGTAAAAGACCTCAGGAAAGAAAGATAAGATTTAGACTATTCAAATTTTGGATTTTGAATTTCGGTTTGAGTTTTTTGTATCATTTTTATTTTTCTCTTCAAGAAACTCTATTTGTAGGATTATTGAATTCGCTATTAATCATATTTCTTTTAATGGGAGTATGTATTATCCCCTTTCGGTAGTTCGGTTATTCTAACTTGAGATTACAATTGTAAGGTTACATCAGATATACTTGATTTTTCTCGAACTCTGTATATATATCATCTCCATCTTCTTCTTCCCCCTCTTAAACTTCCTCCAAATAGTACTTCCACTCCTCTCCCCTCTCCTCAGAAACCTCGTCACCCTCACAAACACCCATCTTCCTTCCTCGCTATCCATTACCCTCCTAGCCTATCCCAATTTCCCATCGTAACCACAACTGAAACTCTCATTCCAGAACCTCCCCAAACAATCCACCAACTCTCACTATTTCTCTGCTCACATACACAGGATATCAATTAGCTAGACTAAATATACCATACTATACCTCTAGTTCTCCAACACAATAGCTCCAAATTCTGCATATATCTACAAAATAATAACCAAGACATATATATTACATATCTATATAATTCCCAGGAAACAACAAGGATATCCATTACCTTTTTTAATCTTAAAGACGAAAGAAAAAGTGATAGTCTAGATCAAGATTGAGATCAAGATCAAGGCAGAGAAAGAGGGGAGATACACATATATCAGGATGTGTATGAGACTGATGGGGTATAAAAGAATATCTCCTATAAAACATTAACTGTTATCCCACAGAGTTAACTTTCTAATTAATTATATTAAAAAAAAAGCAAGAAATAAGTTTAAAAAACAGAGAGGAGGGGTAAGTAAATCTTACCTTACTCACCAATTACAAGAACTAACTTATTCTAATATTCAAACAGATACAATGAACTTCACAAATCCATCTCCGCGATTAACCTCGATTAACCTTAACATTATAATTTCAAATTCCTATAAAAATGTAATATCTCGTTCTATAAATAATAACTCTTATACAATCTTCAACTTAATCTCTATAGCTACCTAGCTACAAAATAATTCAAAAAAGAAAAACCCACACCCATCCGCTTCGCTTCCCGCCAATTATTCGCAAGTAGCTCAAATACACAAACAGTAATCTTATCTAAGTTCCCCGGCCCAACTAATTATATCTATATCTATTTTTGATCATCCCATCCCATCCCATCCTATCCCATCCCATCCCATCCTATCCTATTCCCTAAAACTCACAAACTCAAACTGAAACCCACAACCCCAGCTTAAACAAAACCAACCTATCTATCTATCTACTACTTCTAACCCCCCAATCTCCAATCTCCAATCCCAAATCTCCAATCTAAAACCACATTCATAATATCATATTATATTCATACCCCCTCCCAGCTAAATCTATACTTTCAAACCTATTATACATACAAATTCCATCTACCCATCCATTTATCCATTCATCCATCTATCTTCCCTCTCTCCCTCCCCCCTCTCCCATCAAATCTTCCAACTCCGCCACTCTAATCTTATCTTATCTCACAATACAATAGAATACAATAATCTCCACACAAAGAGACACAAAGAGACCAAAAAGGGAATAAATACCCACAGTATTAAAGAAAGCCAGCCATCCAGGTATTCAAAAGCAATAGCAATCGCAATCGTAGCTATAAATTAGCTTAATCTACGTACCTACGAGCGAGCTATAAACGAGCTATGCTATGATGTACATAATAGGGATATATTATAGAAGATTATTTATTACCAATAACTGATGAGGAGAATTAACTTTACCTCCCTTTTTCCTATATATCTGGAACGGGACTATTACTCACTAGGTAGGTATGTATGTAAAGTATTACATCAAGAATTAATCAATTACTAGATATATAATCTTACATTTATAATAGTAATCCTTTAATGATCGATATTTATAAATATAAATTTCTAAATTTCTAAATTCCTATCTCATAATCTCATAATAGAAGATAAGACAGGAAAAAAAAAACAAAAATAACATTGGGTATAATCTATATACTCCATCCCCCCATCCATGCATCCACATCCCAAAAATCTCAAGTAAAGTACCATACATAAACATCATCCCCAATACATTAAAAACATCAGCACATGTAAAGGAACCCTAGGATCCTCTTACAAATATTAGACTTTGTCCACAAGAATCCATCAAATAACTTTCTTTGATTTTACAAGCCAGCTAGCTCAACAAGGATTAATCCTAACAAGTCAAAAGCTTAAAGCGCTGACGATACCCATTAGTAAATCCAGCTAGGTAGGCTCCATATATTAATGTCCAGCATTCCAAGCGCCGATTCCCCAGTCCTAAAATTGTGACAAGATGAGATGATCTGAAAAGACATAATCGTCGTGACAATCGTCTATTTGCGTCAAAACATGTGTAATTGTACCACCACCAAAAATCATCATCATAACAGTAAATGTAAAAGCTCCACAACTATGAAGCTTTACTCGAAAACCGATTCTAGGCCTAGAGCTGGAGACCTTCTATGTTGAGGCCACGGTATCGGGGGCATAGGCGCAAATTGTACACCAGCAATATTAGTGAGCTTCTTTCGTTCCACCTCTTCCATCAAATTCCATCTCCAAATAAGTCGTGACTTTCTCTCTATGAACAATGAAATTATTCCTTCTTCTTCTCTACTATGCACCTCCTCAAGAGCCTCTAACTCTTGATTCTGTTTGAGGACTAGATTCTCAAGTTCCTCTTCTTGTCGATGGATCAAATTTTCCATTTGTTTCGCTTGCTTGTCTCGCATGACGTTGATCCTACTTTGATGTAAACGACCAAGATCATCTCGAATGTTATATTGCTGGCCAAGCTCTCTGAGATCTTTCTCAGTAACAATTCTTTGTATATTATCACCACCAGAACTTCTACCAAGTCCATTACAGTAAGCTTCCATGTGCTTCAAACGAATTTGTACGCTTCTCTCGCTTTGTTTTAAGGTTGCTCTCAACTCCATCTCAGCAGCAACTTGCCGATCCTCTAAATGCGTCGAAGTTCTTTGATGACGTTCTTTCATTTTTGTTGAGAGCTCATTATAGCGATCCAAAATATCAATTTTGGCTCGACCATGCCGAGTCCACATAATCCATTTCATCTCCCTCTCGAAAGCACAAAATCGGTCTCTTTCATTAATTTGACAAGCCCGAAGTGCACTCAATGTAACATTTGTACGGGTTCGTTCTTCAGCCGCTGCACGTTCCGCCGCCTCTGCCTTTTCTGCCTCTTCCCTGGCTAACTTTGCCTTTTCCTCTTCTGCAATTCGCTGTTCTTCCTCGAGACGTCGACGTTCCAGCATCTCCTCGCCATTACAATAATTTGGACAGCCAACCGAGGGATCCCAAACAGCGCCACAAATATAACAGAATTGAGCTTTACACCTGCAAGTGATATGACTGCAACCTTGGGATAATTCCACTAGAGTTCTACATTTGTAACAGCGACGCCATCCAGCACTCTTGGCCATTCTCAAAACGGCCTCTAATTCGAAATCTTCAGGACAATCCTGGCCAGTTGAGTGCGCCGCACGCTTGCAAATGGAACAAGCTTTATCTCCGCAATTTCGACAAACTATCTCGAATGGTTGTTTGGGATCAATCTTGCCAAGTGTTGGAATAAATTCACCACAAGCGGTATTTGGACAGAAAATCCTCCATTCCCATGGCGTACTGAATTGCACCACGCTTTTCATGAATAATATTTGCTCATCTCTATTTAGAACCGATTTGATTATGTTTCCGGGAATAGCTTGGCTGCAACATCTGGGAGGCATCTTTGATTCTTCTGTGCAGCCCTGAATGGCTAGAACTCGAAGACAACTTTCGCAATAATTATGGGCACATGGTAGCGTACGCAGGGTGGTTGCCGTTTTGAACTCTTCCCGACAACAGATGCAAGAGCTACGAGATTAGTATGTTTTGACGTTTTAAAAGGTGTATACTCACATCACTTGATGCCCCAATGTTTTGGGCTTACGGCGTAAACGGAGTTTAATCCCATTTTTGAAGCTTTTGTAGGAGCGTCTCGAGGATATCGAAAAAAGAGACGGGGCTGGCTCAGGAGAACTGACAGGTATTGGCGGAGGTAGTGGAATCGCGCTTTGAGCATCGATTTGCTTCACATATTTCTCGTAATCGTGAAATGATAAACTCTTCCTCGCCATATGTTGTTTCCATGGCTGTGGTGTTAATGCAATGTCCAATTGCTCATCCGATGATGTCGATGTTAATCCTGTAGAATCGCTATCTTGAGATATTGACGAGGCGGTGTTTGTATGCTGCGAATCAGTGAAAGGAGATTCGCATAGAGGACTATCGATCCTTTCGTCTGCGGAAGGTCCCGTTATCGAAATCCCTAGACTTTCTGCCTCTTTGTTCAATCTTTCGTCAAATTGTATTTCCGTCTTCTCCTGCCCCTCCAATCGTAACACCTCCCGGCAATAATCATCGTCATTGTATTCGATAGGCTGTGCAGCTTCGTTGTGTTGCACGTCAAGATGAGACCTGGCGCGCAAGGCCGGTAACATTGTTGGAAAGCCTTATCTATCAACACGGAGGCAACTTCTGATTCTGCGATTGACACTCATACATATCTGAGGTTGAGTAGATAAATTGGGGATATGGTACGAGTGATAAAAAGATCGGGTGTCAGTGGGGTTAGGGTGAGGAACAGCAAGGGTCCCGGTGGTCGATGATGGGACCAAGCAAGGCGGTAGGCAGAGCCTGGTGGGCTAATTGATCTAAGAAGTGCCGGGACAAATGTTTGCAAGGAATAAAGTAGTGGTGAGAAAGTAAAAAGGTATTAGAAATTGTGAGCAAAGGTAATTTATCGTTGATGTTTGACAACAAAGTATCTTTTTCTTCCTTTTTGAATTAGCAGCAGCAACAACAACAAGCAAACATATGAAGAATTTGTCAGAACTCGTAAAGGCCAAACGATGAAGTCAACAGGTAACTCCATAGATGAGAAGGCAAACGTTGGAGAGTTTTGGTTCCAAGATTTGATCAAGAGGCGGATACCAACTTGTTAATCTGTCACGTCAATCAATCAGTCGCCCGACTGCAGGAATAAATCATCAAAACAAGTTGCCAATTGGTCCAAACCCATGAATCGCATGTTTTTTAATGGCAAGCGCTTCTTTTCCTTTGGAAGGAACATGTTGGTACTTGATACTCGGTACTTGCACTAATAAAAATGCTATTTTGTCAATACTGATGCACCTACTTACCTAGTATTTAGTAACTTTTTCTATTCCTTCAGATGAAGCAATCACAACAGGAAAAGGTTGAATGTAAGGAAAGCACACCGGTATCCATCCGATATTAAAAATCCCGAACATCTTTGAACAGATCATCCCATCCAATACTCTATATCCGCCTACCTACCTATCTACAAAAAACTCAAAACAAGATCAAAATAATTTCTCTCTTTTGCTTCATACATCCCCAATAACGGCTTGACCTATGTATCACCAATACATAACCTATTCCAAGAGATTATCTAGATCTTTTAGTAGGTAGGTAGAGCTTAGGTTAGGGGATCGACAACCTCAAATTACAACACCACCATGAATCAATCAATCACCTGATTCATTCATTCATTCACCGTACAATCACCTATCCATTCTAAACAACCAACTACCTACCCAGCATCCCATCCAAATCCCACTATAACAACCACCAAACTAATCCCCAAACAATCAAAGGCATACCTACCCGTCTAAAGAATGAATGAAAACACACCCCTCCCTTCCCCCTCCCTCTCCTCTAACAACAGATACAATGATCAAAAATCCATGCAAAGGACCAGAGATACCTCAATCACGCATCTCACAAACGGGAAAGGGGACGATTTTTGATCAACATGGCGGCGGAAATAGAACACAATACAGTACCTATGTAGGTAGCACAGCATGACCTGTTCGCTATATTCATAAACGGACGATTGGGCTAAAGCTGGCACGTTCCCCGGATCTACTTGGTCTTGTACTCCGTACACAAGCCATTTTGACATGATGAATTAATTTACCGAGGCTTATTATTATTATTAGTACACGGTTTGACCACCATAGCTGATTGTGCGTGCTTTTCGTCTGCGTAGTATTATTATATGGCTGATCTTAATAAAATTTTATGATACCAATATTTATATTCCTATAAGGATGTCCTTTCAAATATGAAGGAAATACTCGAGAATACATGTAGATCTTCTGGCTTAAATGGGTACTGTGTGTCATTTTGTCCTATTGGAGCATACAAGTGAGCGGCAAACAGATGTTTTGATTCCAAGTTCGGCTGTTACCATATCCAATGTAAGTGCTTCATGCAGCAGGGTATATCAAGCCCATCGGGGTTACATCCAGTAAACGTGGCCAGCATTTTCCCCTGCATCGTCACATCAGATGCCGAACGGCATTCAGAATATGTATTGAGTTTGTAGTTTTGTTTACAAACAAACCCCTCTTCATCTCTCCCGTTTCTTAGGGGCGTTGATATGAGATGTGTGTAATGCTTCCACGGCTGGAATAATCAAACTCTCAATCTCAACCTCCGGTTCTCCATCGGGTAACTCATTTGGATCCAGAGGCTCATTGCTAGGCTCCCCTCCTCTCGCGGCTGCACCTACTAGATCTTCCACTCCGCTGATTGTTCTCTTCCTCTTGCTCCTTGGCACTCTAATCCATTGGTCTTCGCTACCTGGCGCTACGAAAACCACCTCCCATTTCCTAGTAGCAAGTAGATTCCCAATGACCAAATGATGCTGGTAACGATCCAATGAATATTTTGCCTTGTGAACCAGGATCGCGGGGTCAGTCTCAAGCTTGAAAGAAACAATCATGCCTTCAGGGGCCCAACCATCCACAAGATTCTTGAGAAACTTAGGTACGGGATCCAAATCAACTATGAGACGTTTGCTTCGTGGTACCGCTGGAGAGGAGTCAAAGTTATCAAAAGCCTCCTCGTCTTCTCCATTCGATTGCTCTTCACTTCCCTTCGCAGGTGTATTTGTATCCGTTGCATTTGTAGATTGTATTTTGTGCTCCACCATACGTTCCGGAGGAACGAAGAAATCCGACACAGCCGCAGCCAAATATAGAAGCCCACGAGGACCTAGCGGACGCATAAGTTGCGCAATAGCCCGAAGGACGAATAGATAATCTGTGATGGTTGTGAAAGGTAATGTCAAAAGTAGATTCTTCGATTTGGCCGCATTGTACTGTCTGAGAACCTTCAACATCTTTTCGCGATATTCATCGTTCGCAACAACACTCCCATTCGGGCCTTCGTGTAGAAAATCGAGAAAACAATCCGTAGCATGACTATAATGTCGCGAATATGGTTGAAGACTGAATTGACGGTGGAGGAAAATAACCGCATAGCCTGATTCCAGAAAATATTCAGCGGATGTAGCCCCACGCGTTCCTGCACTAAAATTGTCTATGAATCGCACCGTCTGTCTCTCTAGTGGTACTGTCGTTCCTCCTGATGTCACCAAAACCACACGTCTGCCAGCAGAGGCGTGGTAATTGATATATTCTCGTGCAAGAGATGTATGCTTCTCGAGTGTGGCTGGGGGAGGATTTTCCGTAAAGTAATCTCGCTCGGCCACTTCTGCCGTGTTTTCACGCGCTAGGCCTGGCATTGAACTGAAGGTCGACATGGTATCTTGGGAACTGGAGGAGAAAATTGAGGAGGTCGGTGATGAAGGTTGTGAACTTGGAAAGAGGTTGAAAGAAAGCGTAAAGGTCGAGCTCGATGGTGGGGTTGATGTTAATTTTGGGGATGTTCCTGCGGGGTGCGCAAGCTCCAGCTCGGGAGCATGTCTAGAAGTAGTTGGTGCAAGCTGCGACGACATTTTATCAGTTCTCAATTCACTACTCGTAAATCACCTAATTGCGCACCGGCGACGTACCTTTATAATACTAACCTGCAAACTGTTTGGGACTCCGGCTTTCCTGTTGACCTCGGTCGACGGTTGTGTCGGAATTAAGTTGATGATTCGGGCTTCCGGAAGAAGGACCCATGTGAGATTGTTACCTTTTTGTTTCGTAAGAAGATGGTCCCTATATTATTAGCGATATCAATTGTAAGAGTCAACGAGCCAAATTGCCACAATCCATCAATGGTGGTAAGCTGACAACGAGAACTCAGACACAGCCTTGGTGTTGGTTTGCGTGGATGAAGTCATGATTCCCATTGGACAATATTACACCCGGTCCGAGGTCGTGAACACAACATCTCATGTCAATGTCAGGCATTCGGCAGTACTCATGATATAAAAAATCTCTTGAAGCCGTTACAGGACCTTCATACTCAGCTCCGGCTGACAGATGGTCTGAAATGGTAACTTTGGTTCTAAGGATGACTGGGAGAACACTTTAGCGTATGTCAATTAGCTTACTTCACAAGGTCCCCAGCCCAGGATCCCCTTTAGTCAACTACCTACTCAAAGCATTCATATTGCGAAAGTGATTACAACATTGATAAAAGTTATTCCTCTGTGTAAACATTGCTAACAATAAGTTTGTTTCTATTTTCATGCTTGCTAGGCTATTGATAGATACCATTTCTCACAGCCCCTGTCGTCTCTTTCAATGCCAATCAAAAATATGTCTATTATACAGCTCTTTTATATAGCAGCATTTCTTGCTGCTCAAGTTTATCCTCTTGCCAGTTAAGCGTTGCCTTCACCAATTCTCCAGGCTCTCAATGGTAGAGCTTGTAACTTTAGAGCTGCTGGTTTGATGTATCCCCAGAATGTTACAGCCCCAAAAATGACACAGATAATATTCACGACATAGTATCCATCTCTCTCGATGTCACATATGCCTCCTCCAGACAAACAGCGATCTTTCTCGGCAGCCATGGCGCAGGAGAAGGACGATGTGATGAGGGGTCCTTTGAGATCAGCTGCAAGTGTGTAACCGGCTCCGGGTGGAATACATGTTGCAGTAGTAAAGTAATCAACGAGCTTGAGGACGAAGAAACGAGGGAAGGTACCACCCAAATTAGAAACACTATTTACTGTTAGTGGAGTGAATTTTTGGATAAGAAATAGGGGTACTCACGTAGCGAGCAAGGTCATATAAGTTCCACCAATGACAGGATCCGCAATTCTAGCATGGAAAGCTGAGATGGCCACGAACATAACAGTGTTGGTAAATGTCGAGAAAATATGTTCCGCTATAACAACAAGTAGATACCAAGTATCCACTCCATTTACAGGAAAGATAATGACCGTGATTTGAGCGATAATGGCAGCGACCAAACGACCAACAAATCCCCAACACCAAAGACGTAAAGGTGTGTAGGATGTTGACCATTTTCCAGCATAGTAGCCCAAGCCAATCTCAAAGGGAAAGTCAATGAGTACTGTCAAAGCCATATCTTCTTGACTAAATCCTTTATCGATGAGTTTGAGATTCGTAACAGCATCATTAGCTTGGAAGCCAATCTTTGCAATCAAGTGGATAATAATGATGGTTTGGATATTCTTGAGCTTCAGCACTCCCCACATAACCCTATAGACATCCCAAATCCCATCTTCGTTCCGGGTTTTCTCTTCGCGCTTCAAAAGCGCCAGGCCAATAGTAACAATTATGTATGTCCACCCCCAAAACGTGAGATATCCTCCCAATGTCATGACACCTTCATCCAGGGGAGTCTTTCGGAACCATTTGTTGGCGAAGTCTGGAGCATTGAAAGCTAGGAAAACTGTGAAGGACATGAATTGTCCAGCTGTCAATCCCACAGTCTGAGCGGTCGATGCGTATGAGATATTTCCGGGTGACAACAAGGTAAGCGCCCATCCATCAACTGCGATGTCCTGTGTGGCGCACATAAATACCAAAAAGAACCACCACCCGGTGAAAGTCCAAATTCCTGCTCCATCGTTTGCTCCGGCTGTAATCATCATTTCCTTAATTTGGGAGCCTAGCCATATCATTCCGAATCCTGACAGCATTTGAATTGGCATGATCCAACTCTTTCTTCGTCCTACTTTTGGACTCCATATCGCATCCACTATTGGACTCCAAAGCAGCTTCAAAGAATATGGATATGAAGCCAAGCTGAACACCCCCAAGGCACTGTAGGACATATGTGGTTTGAGTAAGAAAGGTACCGAACCTGTCGCAAGACCCATAGGAACACCCTGCAGGAAATATAAAAGGACTAGAAGTAAGAAGTTCCTTTTGTCTTGCATGGGCAATTCGGAAAACCCATGGTTATTAAGGATAGGGGTCTTTGGTATAGGATCATCCAAGGTAAAAGACTCGCGCGCCATGAGATTTGCGGTCACTAGGGGAGAGTCGAGGTTCGCATGCTTGCGCCGGTACTCGACATTGCCGTTCATGGTGATAATTGGTAGATGGGAATCTTCACCTCCTGTGGCAGAGGAAGAGCCTAGTGGCTCTGAAGCTTTGCCTTTGCGAGAACGAGTCCCCATAGAATCCGTTTCAAGATCCTCTTCCTCGTCTTCGTCTGCAGAGTCTTGGTCGCCGAGTAAATGTTGTGAATCTTCTGCTTGTGTTGCGCCGTGTAAATTTGAGTGAGATTTAGGTTTGGATTTGGATTTGGAAGAAATGTTTCTATGGCGCGAAGTAGCTGTTGACAAATCGTCTAGTTCTTGCGCGTAAGGGAATTGAGGGTCGTGATGAATAGGCAGATGAGTATGTCGAGGATTATCTGAAGTAGACAGAGGAGTTAATGAAGGAAGTGTATCACCCAAAGGAGTAGGCATCCATATGGTATTTTAAATTGAGAATACTTTAGAGGTCTTGTTTGCCTCCAAAGTGTCCTCTTTACAAAGCTTTATTTCCTTAGTGCTTCGAGATAGTGGATTGATAGATGGATGGATTGCTTGATTAATTTATTAATCGATTTGATTATTTTACTCAAGGTTCATCCATTCCTGCAGAGGCATCGCTACCTATTTACAGGCTGGGATTTAGGGTACGGAGTACTGTAAAGCGAAATGTGGCTTCTTCGGTGATCCACGGGCGCTCAGGTACAAAGGAGTTGGAAGTGTTTTGGAATATGTCAAAGAGCCGCAAAAGGGGAAGGAAGTCTAGATTTATTTTCTATAATTTATTCGGATTCTTACCAACATTTGACTCCTATGGATGTACAGCGGTGTTATGGAAGTTGTCCCTACTCCGTAGAAATGTACCCGTACCATACGAAGTACCTGGGTGATTATCATCAGGTATGTAATTGAAAGTATAAAAATAGATGGTTCTAGGTGCTTCGGCATTGATCTTTTAGTGTTTTTCACCATCATGACCACTAATTACCTAGATAGGTAGCAACGTCGCAAATCCCAAATAATGTTGTCTTTTTGTCCCCCGCGAAAGCACGTGAAATGGCGTCGAGATGACAAGCGACGCGCATCAAAACATCAACGACGATATGGTCTTTTTAAATTTAAATAAGAAAAGAACCATATTTACGAGCACCGCTGCCACGTAATGGACTCGCCAAATTAAGCTACGAGAAGCTCACATTCTTCCCCGCATTCTGTGGACTTTAATTCGACTTTAAATATGGATATAACAGAAGAGATCAGTCCAGAAGACGCGGCCGGTATTGAATTGGACAATGAGATAGCCTCACTACAGGAACAAAGTGAATACTCTTACCCCTCTCTCACTAACCTTCAAATGTTGTAGCTAATGAATCACAGTCGCGTCATTGAAGGATCAACGTCGTCTTCAAACTGCTACTATTCTTTCTTCTCAAACTTCAAAAGCCATTTTGTCAAATTTGCGAAAGCCTTCCTCCAAAATCACATCCTCCCATTCTACTGCTCCCACAGATTCTGATCCACTTCTCGCAACATCCGCAGCTCAAACGACTCATAATCTCGAGAATTTATATCGCGCATGCGCATCAATCACCTCCTTCCAAGTTCAAGATCCTGACCCTAATGCTGTAGATAATGGGCATGTATTGGGACTTCGAATTGATGTCAGCAACGCTGGTAAATTCGTTCGACCTTACTATATTATGTTGAACAAACCATACTCGGGATCTGCGGCTTTGAGAATACATCGACACACAGTGCCTCCATGTATCCCTTTGGCTAGTCTAGCTGCGAAGTATTTGCCGGCCCCCAAGACTGTCGAAGGTATTGCGAAAGGAAAACGGCAAGATCTCACGACATTTGCAAGGAAACTACGACGGGAGATTGCAGGTTATCATTTACGCATTGCATCTATCAAGCATTTACGAAAAGGATTCTCCTTGGATAAGAAATCAAGTAGGAAAGGAAAAGAAAAGGAGCGAGAGATAGCGGATATCAGTGCGGCTGATGCAGAAGCCAAGCAAGTAAGGATTGAGTGGGTAGATGGAAAGATCGGCAGATGTGTTGTAGGAATGAATGGAGAAGTTGTAAAGTGCGTCATCATTGGAGAGGATGGCAGGGATCGCGAGACAGAAAGAAGGATTCTGAGCGGTGACAAGAGAATGGAAGGAATTGCTGACAGGTTGATGGGAGGCATTTACTGAAAAGAGAGATCTCAACTTGAAAGAGGCTTCCGGGAGTTATGGTCTTCAATACTCTCAAACACCACTACTTCATCATCGCATCGCACTTTCATACCCGCAGTCTAACTTATATCCTTGCGGATATTCTCTTCTGCTCACTTCTTACTTCTCTTCAATTCGGCATGGGGGTCTAAAACGAGGCCGGGCACGAGGCTGAGCGAGGTACGCTGGATGCGGAGTCGAATCCTTCGTATGCGGCTGATCATTCCAGGGCAGACAAACACTCGAAGTAACCACTCTAGAATGGTACGAGCCATGCAAGCTGTTTATTTTAAGCCAGTTCTTATTTTCCGAGACATTGAATTTCGTCCTAATAGATCTTTAAGCCATGTGAAGCTGTTGTCAAATCAACATTCTTTTTGAAGCAAAAGAATACAACAGACACTTGATGTCATGGATGATATCAAAGCCCAACCGTGCAATCAAACAATCAATAACGGGCAGTTACCGCAGGATCATGCCTTTACCATCATATCTACTTATACCAGCCTAACAAATGTTGTGTTTTCGCGCAGCTATCCATTACACGAGCCTTGGCCAGGTACAAATCACTGCAGAGATCCATATTGTTCGACAAATCAATTTCTTGGCCAGGTGCCTTTGACTGGGCTATAATGGCACTGCATTCTCTCATACTATTTACGCATTTGTGTTAGCAACCAGGCAATATATACATTGATTCATGGGGGGTTTTTTTTCATATTCTCCCAAACTATCCATTTCTCCCTTGAGAAGTTGAAGTACAACAAGATACATTGCAAATGCAACTAGCGCATTGTATTTTCTCTACTTAAACTTGGCTGAGGAGACATGTCAAAGGATCAGCCAACCTGCGCTAGTAACTCGGTTCCATTCAAGGAACTTGGTAAACCGGAAAGGCCCTCATGGGAAGTTTGGAGGGAGGGAAGAGTTCTGGTGGTTTCCATTTTCTCCTGTGGAGCTGCTGTGATTGCAGTTTCTTTACCACAAGCAGCATTCTGGCTTGGAAGCCGTGACAACCTGCAGTTCATCATTTTTGGTCTGGCTATCTCCCTTATGAATGACTGCTTTGGAATCGAGGCTCAGGCTCTTGTCTTGGTTGCGGAAGCACGTTTCGGTTGATCCACCTTACAAAACTTTAAATCAATACTCTACAACAGTCTTTTCGTCAAACATGCTCACAAATACATGCGGCTAGTCATACTGATTTTATACGCCTTCTCTCTGCTTTTGAATGTTGCCTACCTAGCACTCGACGACGGCGAGACATATGCAGGAGATTCGGGATGGCTGCTGAATGGTCAATCCTTTTCGCGCTACAATTACAACAATACTTACCGGCTCAGCAATCTTTTACTCGATAATCGGACAACAGCTATCATGATCTATGCTACCGAGCCAGTCGTGACCCTGGATACCACATATCCGCTGCAACTCGGAAGCTATGGGTTGAACATGCAAATTCTTAATCACAATATTATAGCAATGCTAGATCTTCTAAATAGAGATTTTTTTTAGTCTTTGTGGAATGCTATGCGTTTAGGCTAGACTGTATACCTTCGAGCCTCAGTCAACGCCACTTTCAGCAGTGTTAATTGCACAAATGCGGATAATTCATGTAGGAGGCCTGCTGGATTTTTTGACTCCACCTCTCCATCCCATGCGGCATGGGTATCCACCGTCAACGTCGCCGGCGCTGGCGACATAAAATTCACCATGGCAGCCAATAAAGCGTAGCAAGAAGTTTTATGTATCTCTGCTTGGGACGAATCTGCTGACCCTCCAACGAGTATAAGCTCGGAATTAATTGGGTTTAATCTGTATCGAGGTCATTGTGATGGCAAATGGAGGGTTGATGAAACTACAGTGCTATTGGAGGAAGCAAGCGGCTGCCTGCTGTCTGACTTCTCTACCTCACAACGGCTGATTGTCGAGAATAGTGACTGGGCATCATTACAGAACCTACAAAAAGTACTAGCAGATACTATGGTCACAGCTAGCAATGATCCAATACCTAAGATTCTACCTACACATTTTTCGGCACAGTCGGCAATTATTGCATCAATGCTTTGGTCTAAGTTATCATACGATGCTACTGAGACTATGGCTACTTTCTTCAGCCACTATCCTGAGCTTAATTATGTCACAGAGTCATGTATGCAGGCGAGCGTGCCAACATTGAAACGAAACGCTCTGCTCTATGTCGTTATATGCATTCAGCCTGTCATGATATTTATATTCATGATCATTCGATACCGTTTAAGACATATTCCGATATCAAATAAATTCGGACTGGTATCCTTACTTGCGGGGATTGATCCGAACAGTGTCAGACTCCTAAAATGTGCTAGCTTCAGTGGTATCTCGAACGCTCCAATCGGAGTTACCATTAGCGTCGTTGAAGATGGTGAAGTAGACGAGCATCGCTCTGGGCATTTAGAGTATGTCTTGAATACTGAAAAAGGTAGTAAAAGTGGCTTGCTAGTCAAAGGAGTCACTTATTATTGAATGTGTAATTAGCAAAATATTGGTTGTTAGTTTTCATGTTTATGGCCTGCTTCAACTTCATGTGGATGGACACTCTTTCCTGCTAAGTTCCTTGATTTTCAATTCAACAATTGATTGTTCATCGTTTGTGATATTAATAATACGACTTTAGTAAAAATTAACCTTTATTTCATATTTCTTGCACCCTCTAGAATAACTTACCATTACTAGAGCTCCTCTCCATCTTTCTCCTGTAGTTTTCCATTGCTTTGTATACTACCGTACTTTAGTTCCATTAATTATAACATACAAGACTCTCCCATAATCATAATCAGCTGATTTCCATAAGCTTGTCACGATTCACCATCACGTCGGACAAGTAGGGATCACGTGATGGAGCCTCCAGGAGCATAGGCTCTTCAAGGCTCCTCCAGGCTCCTGCAGGCTCCTGGAAAGGACCAGTATATAAACATTCATTATTTTCATAGTATAGGAGCTTCGTGCTCAACTTAGTTATCAATTAGTTTACCTACATTCTACTTGATCTAGTAACGAATTCACTTCCAAGTGAATACCAGTGATTAAGCCTTGACCCACAACTACCAACCAGATGAAACCTCAGGCAGCCGCTGCCTCCAGTACAGTATCGTTACAGTAGAGTCTCTCCACCTTCAGCAAGCACAGACATATGTTCTGATTGAAATCACGTGATTGATCCAAGGATCTAGAGGATCTAGATAATTAAACTCTAGATCCAGTAGATCCAAGGGATCCAAAAGAATACAGTAGAATATGAAGTTCTATATAAGGGATAGGTTTTCATTTGTAGAGCTTCGTGCTCAAGATCAATCATTTAGTATACTCTACTATTAGTTACGAACTGCATATCATTATTGTCATTACTTTAAGTCCCTGCTTGACGCCTAGTTATAAACCACCTCGAGAGCCTAGAGCACTTCCACGTGATCTAGACGGCAAACCTCATAACAGACAAGACAAGACGGTATAATACAGAGCAACATTCAATGTTTTTTTCTTTTACGGGATTTTATGATTTATTAGATAAAAATTATTAATTGTTTTGATATACTCCGAGTCGAGTAAGGTTTTCAAAGTGTTATCTAATTAATACCTACCTCGGTGATTACGGAGTAATTATTATTTATTTGAAGATATAACGTGGTTTATCATCGGGTCGCCAATATCACCGGGTCGCCACTTTTTTCACCATTTAACCACTTCAATTTCAATTCGCGATATCTCAATGAATTATCATGGAAACACAATCAAAAGAAGCCCGAATCATCTTAGCTATTGAAGCTATTCGAAAGTCTAAAAATTTGACAATTACGAAAGCTGCGAAAGTCTATTCAGTACCTCGATCTACACTACGCGATAGAATCAACGATCGAAATAACCAAATGGAAACTCGAGCAAATGGGCATAAAATAACTGAATTAGAAAAGAAAGTGCTTCTTCAATATATAATTGATGTAGATGATAGAGGGTTTGCACCTAAATTGAATGATGTGGAAGATATGGCGAATTATATTCTTCAGTCGCGAGGGGCAAAGAAGATTGGAAAGCTCTAAGCTCATCGATTCGTAAAGCGTCATACGGAATTAAAGATATGTTTTAATTGTGTCTATGATTTTCAAAGAGCTCTTTGCGAAGATCCTAAGCTTATTGAAAGGTGGTTTCAAATGGTATTGAATATGCGAGCGAAATATGGTATTCAGGATTGCAATTTCTACAATTTCGACGAAACAGGCTTCATAATAGGGATTATAGTTGCCTGTATGGTTGTAATTAATATTGAACGAAATAGCAGAAGCAAGGCAATACAATCAGGCAATCGAGAATGGGCTACAGCAATTATATGTGGTAATGAAGAGGGTGAAACTATACCTCCATTTCTGATAGTTCAAGGACAAGTCTATCTTTCGAATTGGTATACCGAAACCGATCTTCCTGCAGATTGGGCTATTAAACCTATTTCCAATGAATAAACGAATAATGAGACAGGGTTAGAATAATTAAAGCATTTCGATAAACATACTATTCATCGAAGAAAGGGCAAATATCGAATATTAATGCTGGATAGATACGAAAGTCATAAATCAATACCTTTTCAGTCATATTGCAAAGCAAATGATATAATATGCATAAAGCTACTAATGCATTCTAATCATTTAACTCAATCATTCGATATTGGATGTTTTAGTGTCCTGAAACGCTCGTATAATAGTCAAATTGATGGATTTATCAAGGTATATATCAACTATATCTCTAAGATTGAATTCTTTATAGCTTTCAAAGCTGCATATCAATAATCAATTACATCTCAGAATATAAAAGCTGGGTTTCGAGGAACTGGATTAATACTATTTAATCCTGAAGCTGTACTCTCAAAGTTAGATATTCGAATTCATACATCTATTCCCCCCTCTTTCAATATAGATCCTTGGATCTCTCAAACACTTCACAATCCAACTGAAGCTCTTTCTCAATCAACTTTAGTAAAATCTCGAATAAGTCATCATCAATCAAGCTCTTCTACACCTATATTCGAAACTATACTAGCTTTAACTAAAGGTACAAAGAGATTAACATATAAGAATACACTTTTAAATGCAGAAAATCGTACATTTCGGAAGGCAAACAAGGCATTAAGCAAACGTCGACACGCAAAAAAGATTCAATTACATCAAGGAGGAGTGCTTACTGGACAAGAGGCTCTTGATATATTATCTCAACAAGAGGTTGATGTTCAGATTCAACGCGACGAGCGTCAAAAGAGGGGAATTCTAATGGGGAAGCATCTTCTAGTCGATGTTGTGGTACATGTGGGAGAACTGGTCACAATTCAAGAACTTGTCAAAATAGTATAATAGACTCTAGGTTATTAGATTCTTAATAGTTTCAATCAATTGATTGAGTAGTTGTTGAATAATATAAAATTGAAGTGGTTGAATGGTGAAAAAAGTGGCGACCCGGTGATATTGGCGACCCGATGATAAACCACGTTATATCATTTAGGATAATTAAGATGGATTTTGAGGATCTTGTGATTTTGAGTCGGATGCTGGTTTTATAGGTAGGAATTAGATTGGATGGGATGGGATGGGATTGTATAGTATTACGGAGTGAGGAATATTAATATAGTAATTATTAAAATTGGGAAATTGAGGGATTAAACAGAGTCTAGGGAGAGGATCTGAGTGAGTATGGGATATTGTAGTCACTTAGTTTGGGATGAGCAATAGCTTATTAGAGCTTCCAAATATATTTTCTGCTTTAACTTAACTCTTCACTAACTTATCTTCCGGCTCATCTCCTCGATATATAATTCCAGAGAAGTCTCCCGGAAATTGTGTCTTGTACCAGCCAAGACGAGCTTCTTCGTCTCGGGAAGGGAATCCTCGACGCAATAGGGACTCTCATGCTATTCGAGAAATCTTTCATCTTCTTTTCGATCAGTACTATTGGCGTAGGCTATAATGTTCCTTGTGATGCCTATGCCAAATTTGTGGTTGATCTTTTATTGCAGAATAAAATTCGCAAATCCATCAGTTTGTATTTCAGACCAGAATTCATTGATTCTGTCACAAAGGCTGCGGATTTAGATGAAGGGAATTTTGGGAAAGAAACCCTTGACCTGGCGCTCTTGAATGTGGATTGATTACTAGTTCCTGAAAAGATATTTAATACTGATACGAGGAATTTGGGAGATTGGTCAATAAGTGATATCAAGTTATAGTTAGAAAGTATAAGAAATTACATATCCATTTATTTTACCAACATCAAAGAGAACACGAGGAATATAGAAATATTATGAGATACTTAGGGATGTTGATGATGAAGACGAGGATGCAAAGAGGTTTGCTACATTTAAGCTAAGAAATTTGGTAGTTTGGAGGGGGGAAGTTACATTGAACTAGCCGCTGCACAATGCACGAAGGATGTTGATGAGCAGATCAATAGATTCACTTTTATTTTGAGCCATTAGGAAATGATTCAAATGATTGCCATCCATGCGCGTTCCTTGCTCAGTTGACCAGTCCAAAGAAACTAGTTGGAAAGCAGCAAGCGCTCGAAGGACCCTAAATGAGAAGAAATTGAAAAACAGTTGAGGAAGAGGGGTGAACAAGAACTTGGAGAAGGAAAAGAGGGACGTGGAAGTCGAAAATCCGGGGATATCCATCAACAGTGGATAAACGAAGATGATAAATATCAAGCTCCGCAGATTTATCACAAGCCGAATTCAATCTTCCTGAAATTGAAGACAAGCTCAGCCGAGCCGAAAAACGCCTCAAAAACGGAAGCGATAAATGCATGACCATGAACCAAATTCCTAGCCTACACTCAGATGGTAAATCTCCTTCCTATCCTAGAGACAAAGAAATCAATGTACAAAATCAAAGGCTCACTGAGGGAAGCGAGCAAAATCCTTGATTCTGATATTTTCGCATCTACTGGTAGTAAACGATACCTCTAAGGGATTTACTACTGTATCAATAAAAGCGATGTAACGGAAATTAACGGATCACTTGCTCTTCAATGTAATAATAGTACCAAAATGTCAAATTTCGTTTAATGCGCCTGTATTTACCAAGTTCGACGGAATGAGTTAATACTTAGCGTGTTCTTCATGTGCAGCCTAGTATGCTTGGTGATGTCAATTGTGCTAAATTTGAAGACGTGGTATCGCCGAATTTTTCGACAAGAGGTTGGACTTTGTAGGAACCAGTATTGAGCAATATGACGTTTTATGTGAGCAATCTTTGGGAGGCTTTGGCCGGAAATGTAGAAGGGCTTGGTGCATACACTTATCCTTATTTTTATATTGAACAGGAAATTTCCGAGGTTTCAGAAAAAGCAACAGTTTTTCTCCAGAATTCGACACATCTGTGAGAACTTATAAATACGGGTGAAAAGCTACAAGTAATTCCCAACGTTGATAATATACCACCATCCAATCCAGAGCTTCGAGTGAGCTGACAAGAACAACATAGATCTCTTACTTCAATTGAACGAAAGGCCTAGAAAAGACAAGAAGAATCGACTCATTGGCATCCTCAATCTTCTCGAGATTCAATTTACTGGAGAAATTAACGGTTATATTTCCGGCGCCCATATTTGTGGTATAATTTCTTGGGGAATCACTACTGCCCAGACTTTTCGATCACTGTTCACAACTCCGGGTTTTGATGTGACCCGGAATTGCATTCGAACACAAGCGAGGACTTTGATCAAGTTTTTAATAATTACTTTAGTTGATGATTGTGCAGCCGCTATCGTTGCGGATCGAACCAAGGTTTCACAATTCACAGATGCGTCCTCACTTGAATGCTGATGCAGACTTAATTAGACCAACTCTTCCCGCCCACGATATTTAGTCTTTGGAATCGTACCGAGAACACGCTATCCGCGTTTGTAGAGTTTGCTCACTGACGGGAGTTTTCCGCGTGAACCTTTCAGCATTCTATGCAAAAGATCCAACTAAGCTCTTTGTCGATTGCTCAATGAGGTGGTCATCACGACCATAATGTCTCAATATCAAATTTGGCGGTTCAAAAAATTTAAGGCTAGCTCTCACCATAAGGCAAGGGAGCGCTAGCAATTATATCGAGTCGTTTTCCTCCAAATTTGTAAGTAAAAACCCAGAAACATCCGTTTCCATCGAGAACAAAAACTGAAAAACTCTCGCTCTGGATCCATCAGCTCAAACCCACACCTTTGGTGGAAATCCAGAGCAATGCTGCATGCTCGACTTTGTTCAAGTTAACAATATCAACCTTATCGTAGACAAATGGGTTATTGCCAGGATTACATGCGCTGCGAGAAGAATGGATTCCACGTTATTGAAATTAGGATCCACGCACCGTTCCTATGGACAACAAATAGTGATACTCGATATTAACTTCAAAAACATAGTACTCGAAACTAGCTGGGTCTGTGAGTCACTAGGAGAACTATATGGCAAACAAGAAAACAAAACCGCGCCGTATCGTGAATGTGTTATTCCAAGGACGGGTAGCTCGACAGTATGCAGACTCAGTCACCAGCCCGGAAATCAAAACCGATATGAATAATGATTCGAATTACGGGGGTTCAAGTTACAGAGAAAAACCAAGCCCAAAGATTTTCTCTTGGGCGGAGAAACATCTATTGGTGCTGAACTTGTCCAAACACTTTCAGTGACACCTGGAGCGAGAGATTGGATGGAAAATTGATTGATACTATTCTCCAGCAGGAACCTAAAGAGCTGAAAGCTGCAATCATGAAACGAGAATGAGGCTCTGTTGCCAGCTGTGATTTTGAGTGGTATCGGGGTCCATATGTCCTAATAGGTAGGTAAATTTAGGTACAGAGCCTCCTTGATGACAAATGTGTAAGATCTTACAGTGGGATTCGTACCTTGACCAATAGCATTTCCCTGTACAAGACCCACTGGTGCACCAACTCATTTTTGCAACTGCTTTCTGGTGTTAGTGTACATTATCATACCTATCTAATGGTGGGATGAGATGCGAGCGTGAACATTTGTTAGGGTACGTGGTTCCGGTCACGATAGTTCGGAACATTTAGCCTGAAAAAGATGTTGCACATATCATATCATAATAGGACACGAATTGCCAAAAGAGACCCCACCGTCCATTCACGTACAGTGATGTGTTTGTGGGGTTGCGGCTGATATTCTGTTTCAGTCTTTTGCTTCAAGTCTAAAATTACAAGGCTGGCGAATAGAATGGCGAATATAAGCTTAATTTGGAGCCCCCAACCGTTGGGTGCTTCCCCCAAGCTAATCAAATACAACACTGATTTGTTGATCTATATTTGAAGCTGGGATATTTATATTGCCGCCATGAACATCCCTTATCCGCTCATGCATATTCTTAGGGGCCATACCCCTAGCACCAAGCTCATCATAAGCGCCAGCTTTCTCACATAAAGACCAAAACTTTTAGATACTTTAAATATTTGGAACTTTCACAGAAACGAGTATTGGCTCGAAGCTTGACTCCTCATTCCAAAGGAAAAAAAATTCAGCAAGCCTTCTGAGTTTGCACTCAACGAGCACACATTTCCAAGTGTAAAAAAGGAAATACCCCGAGAGCTACAAGGCCGACGTACCAAGCAATAATATAATTGGTATTAAAATACTCAGTCATCATGGTTGACGTCTCAATCATCATCGCCGTTGTTTCTCTGATCGGTTCGCTCGCAGCAGCAGGTTTCACGGGATGGATCTCATACTACTTGGACCAGGCCAAACAGCGCAAAGCCACCAGGACTCTAATCCACAAATATCGAGACCCTCTAACACTCGCCGCATACGATCTCCAATCTCGAATCTACGGCCTTGTTAATAGTTTGCTTGAGTATTATCATGATGAAGAGAAGAAAGAAAATATATATGTTTACACGGCCTTTTTGATCGGGCAGTATCTTTCATGGACATATGTTCTTCGCCGACAAGCACAATTCATGCAATTTTCGACGGAGCAAAAAAACCAGCAGCTCAATAAGATCCTCTTCACCGTTACGGAGTACTTTAGCCTGGACATATGCGGAGAGGCTCCATTCATGCTTTGGCGTGGACAGCAGATGGCCATCGGCGAAATAATGACTAAAGAAGAAGAAGGTCAGCTTTACTGCATAGGGTTCGCAGCGTTCTCGAAGAGATACCACGATGAAGATGAATTCAAAAAGTGGTTCTTACCTATCGAGAGAGGTGTCGATCTACTTGTAAAAGCACGCAAGGATGGTAATCTTACTGCGACTAATAGACTACGTCGTTTGCAACATCTTATGATTGATTTGGTTGATCTTCTGGAATTTCATCGTGCGACAAGTGGACCAGTCAAACAAATGAAGGTACCCGCTGCTCCAGGTTGCAAGTGTGAGAATTGCCCGGGGTCAGCCAGGGCGGATCCAGATGAGAAGCTACCGGTGTAATGGGTCAGAAGTCGAGAAAGCGATGATTGATAGAGTCTCCTTCCGTTTTTGAGGAAATGGGGATGCATGGAGGCTTGGACGTCGACCAACGGCATCTTTACAAAAGTCTTGCTATTGAGAGGAGGATTTCGTTGAACTGTTGGATGCGTGCCATATGAGATAGCATTGGGTGTTGATGCTGGCAATAATGTACAGCGAGAGACTCGATGTAAGCCAGTATGAATTATGAACATATGGGGTATTACCGCTGTGCTACGGGCTTTGAGGCGTTGAGAATTAGGGGGTGGTTTACCCCGAAATAATGAGATGGATTGCAATTAATAGGTATATAATGGTATAAAACTCGCATAGATATCCATGTATTAGTGCTTTTTAGTGATGATTCAATGTTGATATCAAAATTCTTTTCATGCAAACAAAAAGTGTGATGTGTAGGAGGATAGAACAGCAAATGCTAGAAGGGTGGACGGAACACACTAGCTAACTGAACGGTCTAACCTAATCAAATCACCGTTCAGTTGACAGATCACTAGTGGTCCCTTCAATGTAACCTTAACCTTTGAGATTTCCCCACCGACAATCAACCGCGAAAATCAATGCATCATTAGTCTTAAGTATCTTACATTTTACACTACCTACATTTCATATGCTGCAATTAAGTATAGTTCATTAACAAATATATATGACGAGTTGAGATTCCATGTGATCTGAGGCTTTTTAGTTTTTAGTATTGTTATGTAAAATAATATGCTGGTATTACTTGACAGGATATCCCCCGTGAATAACCCACACAGAAAGAAGATATCGTCTGCGTAGTAGCACAGATGCTCCTGTATGTTTAGATCTACAGTCTGCGGTAACATAGGTAATCTTGGTTGATGCATTCTGGGTGCGGAGATTTCGAGGGTTTCAAATGTTAAAGGGCTTTTTCAGTATCAAGCCCTAACGATCTTAGAAACTCTTCTTCGGCGACAGTTCGCCCTACGAGCTCGGAAATATTTTGTCGCATTTGGCCGGGCTTAGAAAAAGATTTGATATAATCTCGATTTTACAAGAGCAGTGTAGGATGCATTCTCCGCGCACTTTTGAAATGAAACAATACTCTCGAGCTGGAGTGCTTACAGAGAGCGGGATACCATTTCTCTAGTTCGACGCATGCATCTGCATAGCAACCCTGTTGGATCAGCGGCCAGCTAAGATATACCGCAACGAATCAATGATATTCAACTTATAAAACCCTCAAACACGAGTGGATGAAGACAGCAGCTCCTTCATGATTGTTATAATAAACAGGTACAGGTTCCTGGACTCTCCTTTCTTTTCGCTTATGGCATGTACTATGAACTCTAATAATTTACTATCAAACATGTTGTCTTAATCTATATATGTTTTTCGTACTCCCAATTCTGAGAGATATACGATTTGCTGTTGCGATACAGTATTTTTCTGAATAAACTCTTTCTCCGAATGCTAATTTGCCCCACCTCTCCCGCATCTACATATATGCGCTAAAACAGTTTCATCCCCGCCTACGAAATATCGTAAGATTACTCCGCATCAACCTAAAATCTTACATGTCCACAATTGTTTAAGCTTACTTTTGTTATGATATTTAGTACGTAGTCAAAGGCCACGGCCCTAAAGTAGGTCTTCTCGATCATCTTTTCGACAAATATGCATCCAGTTAAATGCCAATGGCTTTTGTTACTACTCATATTCGCTATAACATTCAATGTCATCGTACAAGCAGAGGCAGCACAATCTACTCAAGGATTAGTTGAACTCTTAAAACGGAGATTACCTGCTCATGTGAATGACTTCGAGTTCAAAATACGAGGCAATCATACATTGGGGGCGACGAACGATGACTATTCTGTATCTCAAACATGCACGGGAGTTATTCTGGTAGAAGGGAATTCATTAAGTGCTCTTGCTACTGGGTACGTCTCTTGACTGAACTTTTGACCGCAATTTTCAGCTCACGAAGATAGGTTACGTAAATACTTCACAGACATTCTGCATGTGGATATCTGGTGGTATATTGGTTTGCAGCTCCATCTTGCGCCTAAAGAATTCCCACCTTTGAATTCGACATTGAGAGGATCAAGTATTGTACCATGGCGATATCATTTCAACACTGGTAAGCGAAATTGTCCCCCTGAAGCGCCTTCCATTAACGATTGCATTTCACACAATCTTTAAGTTACTAAACAGATGCTGATGAACACTTCGTAGTTACATTCTCTTACACAACCGCCTTTTGGACCTGGGATGATTGGGAACTTCAGCTAGACTGGATGTCCCTTCACGGCATAAACCTCTCTCTCGCCTGGGTAGGGTACGAAAAAACATTACTTTCCACCCTCCTCACCCTCGGTCTCACCACCACTGAAATTCTTTCATTTTTCTCTGGTCCGGCCTTTCAAGCCTGGAATCGATTCGGTAATATCCAAGGATCTTGGGGCGGAACCCTTCCACTCTCTTGGATCGAAGAACAGCACCTTCTTCAAAAGAAAATTGTAAAACGAATGGTAGAACTAGGTATTACACCTGTTTTACCCGCTTTTACTGGTTTCGTGCCAAGCGCGTTGAGAAGAATAGCACCTAATGCAAATATCATCAACGGAGGTGATTGGGGCAATATTTTCCCTGTCGAATACTCAAATGATACATTTCTCTACCCTACCGATCCTCTTTTCACCACTCTTCAACATAAATTCCTCAGTTTTCAATCCGAATATTATGGGAACGTTACGCATATCTACACACTAGATCAATACAACGAAAACAATCCTGCATCAGGAGATCTCTCATATCTGAGAAACGTATCACGTGGAACCTACGAATCTCTCCAATCCTTCGACCCGTGTGCCGTCTGGATGTTACAAGGTTGGCTGTTCTACTCTCTTTCATCATTCTGGACACAAGATAGAATCGAAGCTTATATCGGTGGTGTCCCCAAAAATGAGAGCATGTTAATCCTAGACCTCTTCTCCGAATCTTTTCCACAATGGGAAAGGACGCATTATTATTATGGTAAACCATGGATCTGGTGCCAATTACGTGATTATGGTGGTACTCTAGGTTTATACGGTCAGATTTACAATATTACAAATTCGTTGATTGAAGCTTTTCGGGAATCGGAGAATATGGTGGGGGTGGGGAATACAATGGAGGGCCAAGGAGGGAATGGGTTAATGTATGAATTGCTTTTGGATCAGGCTTGGAATATTGATCCTATTGATACTGAGGATTACTTCAAATCTTGGGTGAGAAAACGATATCATATTAAAGGGGCAAAGAAACGGTTACCGGGAGAAATATACGAAGCTTGGGATATTCTTCGAAGAACAGCCTATAACAACACGAACCTAACTCTCGCTGATAGTGTACCAAAATCATTGCATGAATTGCAACCTAATATCACAGAAAATCATGGAAGATTGGGACAATCATCAACTATCGATCTTTATGATCCAGATGACCTATTCAGAGCCTGGGAATTGCTTTATAATGCATCAGTATCGGTCCCGGAATTATGGGAAGATAAGGGATGGAAATTCGATATGGTGGATATTACGAGACAAGTTCTTGCGGAGAGATTTAAATTGGAGTATGTGGAACTGATAGAGAAATATAAGAAGGGTGCTGATATCTCCTGTGATGGTGATATTTTAATTGGCATACTGGAGAGCTTGGATGATGTGCTATCCGCATCGCCTCATTTCAGATTAGACACTTGGGTAAATGCTGCAGTTTCTTCTGCACCACTCCCTGCCTCTACAAATTGCTCATCCACCTCAATTAATAACTCCTCGTTGCTCTTCAATTCCTCTACATCGATATTAACATCAAATCTCACCCCAACCCAACAATTCTTCGCCTATAACGCGATCAATCAGATTACAATCTGGGGACCTACAGGACAGATTGATGATTATGCATCTAAGAGCTGGGGAGGTCTAGTACGTGGGTATTATCTGCCGAGATGGAAGATGTTCTTGGAATATATTGACGAAGTGCGATTTGAAGAGTTTAACACGACGGAAGTAAAAGCAAGATTGGATAGTTTTGAGCTAGGTTGGCAGTTTGGCGGTGGCACAGGTTATGTTGAAGGGGGGGATGGTCGGGGAAACTTGAAAGAGTTGGTCGGGGAGTTGTTTGAAGAGTTGGAGCTGTGGGGAGTTCGGGAAGTGTGAGTGAAGTGTTTGGTGGAACATAGCTAGAGATATGCTGCGGGCTATTGGTTCAGGTGTCTTGATTTGACTTTTGGAATTATATCAGTCCTGACAGACTCCTGTATATTTACTTTTCCGAGCACTGTTTCCTTGAATTGTGAATGCTAGTTAACCTTAGGCTTGCCGAGCCTAGTTGTGTTTTTTTACCACGACATCTCGATTACCATAAACGTAGTAGGTATCTTTAATTGTGTATATACTGATTTGTAACAAGTAAAAAACAAAGGGTTGTAGTGTGATAAAAGAAAAGTGAATATTCAACATAGCAGCCAGCTCACTACTTCAATGCTATCTCGACATTTCATATCCGTTGAAAGGGTTATTTATAGTTGTAGGTGTGAAGAGGTTTATCTTGTTAGCTACCTATTAGAGGTATTTAGCTTGTCAATAAACTACAGTAACCCTCCACTTATATTAGCTGACATCTAATTTTACACCAAAAATAACTAAATTATATCATTTTCATTTGAAGATTTTGATATACTAAAGAACCTTTATAATTTATTCTTTTTATAATATTAATTAATTTTATCAAAAGTTTATATATAATTCATTTTGAATTCTAAAAAAATTTATTGATTGAATAATAATGTTACGAGGTTTGCCGTCTAGATCATGTTGAAGTGCTCTAGGCTCTTGAAGTGATTTATAACTAGATGTCAAGTAGGGATTTAAGTAATGACAATAATGATATGCAATTCGTAACTAATAGTAGAGTATACTAAATGATTGATCTTGAGCATGAAGCCTTATACAAAGGAAATCCATCTTCATTATATAGACCTTCATGCTATACGTCCCAGGGCTCCCAGTTGTCCCAGTCCTTTTGCGACCACTGGACCCACTGGGATACTCACGTGATCATGTCAGTCACATGATGTTATAACGTGATCATAAGTGATCAGTTGTGACGGAAATCCCTGCTTTCCTCCCACCTTTATTATATAAGAAACCTCAGGTAATGTGGTTTATCAGTAACCGGAACACTTTTACCTCAATTACCCACATTCCATTAAAATAAAATTACAACAACACCATAAATTAGGATTGAATTATATACAATCTAAAGATCAACTAATGCTGGATCGAACTGACAAGTTCGTGCATTATGTAAAGTACTACCGCATTTGCTACATCGTCGTATAGTAGCTTGCCTCCTTGCTGAAGAACCATCATTTGTATATTCGTCGCATCGTATCTGATCTTCTACATTCTCTTGTTCTAATATATTATGCCCATCTTCTATTGAAAGTGCTCCTCCTTTTCGTATTAAAGCTTTTCTAGCTCTCCAGCGTTTACTAAATGCTTCATTTGCTTTGCGGAGACTATGAACCTTAGCAGTTAAAAGCGTATTCGCATAAGCTAGGAGCTCTATACCCTTAGCTAAAGCTGCAACTGTTTCAAATATTGGAGTAGGTGAACTCCCTTGATGCCGAGCAATACGACTTTTCACTAAAGTGGATTGGGAAAGAACTTCAATTGGATTGTGAGGTGTTTGAGATTGCTATATATCAGGATCGGCTGATATTGATCTATTTGATAGAGTTCTTATTCGAATATCTAGCTTTGAAAGTACAATTTCCGGATTAAATGGGATTAGCCCAACTCCGCGGAACCCAGCTTTACTATTTGATATAGATATTGCTTCGATATATACAACTTTGAAGGCTTGAAAAAACTCGGTTTTGGTAATATGAGTGATATGCGCCTTGATAAAGTTCTCGATTTGTCGATTATATAAACGCTTTAAAGGACCAAAACAACCGATATCGAATGGTTGAGTTAAATACAAAGAATGAGGTAGCAAACTAAGTAATATAATATTATGTTCCTTGCAGTATTCCTAAAATACTGATGATTTATGATTTTCATACCTATCAAGCACTAACATTCGATATCTACCCACTTTCCTACTTTCAGTATGTTTGTTGAAGTGCTTAATCCATTCAAGACCTGTCTCATTATTTGTCCATCCATTGATAGTAGGTTTAATAAACCAATCGTATAGTAAATCGCCTTCGGTATACCAATTTGAGAGGTGGTATTCGCCTTTTACTATCAAAAACGAAGGTATATTATGATCTTCTTCATCAATACAAATAATCGCTATAGCCCATTCCCGATTACCTAGCTATATAGCTTTGCTTTTTCCATATCGATCAGCTTTAGTAACTACTATATATAATGATATTTGTCCTATCATAAAGCCTGTCTCATCGAAGTTGTAGAAATCGCAATCTAGAATACTATATTTGGCCCGCATATTCGATACTAATCGAAATCATCTTTCAATAAGCTCTGAATCTTTGCAGAGAGCTCTTTGAAAGTCATAAACGCAATTAAAACACGTCTTTAATTCTGTATATCGTTTCATAAAGCGATAAGCCCAGAGCTTTCCAACCTTCTTCGCACCCCGCGTTTCGAGTATATAATTCGCCATATCTTCCACATCACTTATTCGAGGACTAAATCCTCTCTCGTCCATGTCGAGTATATATTGAATAAGTACTTCCTCTTCCAAATCAGTCAAATTATGGCTTTTTGGTCGAAATTCCGTACGAGGGGTTAAACCATTCATTCTGCGGATAAGTGTTGTATGCGATATATTATATAGCTTTGCAGCCTTCCGAATGCTTAATTTTTTATCTTTTCGAATAGCTTCGATAGCTAAGAGTATTTGAGCTTCTTTATTATTCGATTGCATTATAGATTGTTGATAAATCGCGTATTGAAGTGGAAAGATAATAATTGAGGTAAAAGTGGTGCACATGCTGATATGGTGCACATGCTGATAAACCACGTTACATTAACCATGTCCACACATGATACGATTACTCGAGATTAGTATGCGATTTAGGTGACCTGAGGATCAGATCCGGACAAGTACTAGGTATCAATGGTTATCGGTAAAGTAAGATCATTGGAGGGATAAATATGACTTCTTTTTGTCTAGCTATTGCGGCTAGGCCATTCATTTGTGTATATATAGAGTAGCTATCCCCATCTACAGGTGCTCTTCACCTGTAGATTCTAAGTTAAATACAATTGCTGGTCTATAAACACCCTTTTGGTCACGTCAGTAGTGATCATGAAGGATCACTAAGGATCATGGTATAGGTGATCACTAGTGATCAGGGAAACACGAAGGTCTATATAATGAAGATGGATTTCCTTTGTATAAGGCTTCATGCTCAAGATCAATCATTTAGTATACTCTACTATTAGTTACGAATTGCATATCATTATTGTCATTACTTAAATCCCTACTTGACATCTAGTTATAAATCACTTCGAGAGTCTAGAGCACTTCCACATAATCTAGACGGTAAACCTCGTAACATCATTTCTAAGAAATTTTTAAAATAGATATAAATAGAATCAAAATCTTCATTTGATTTAAACGAAGCTATTCTGATCATTTAAAAGCTACACTAAAATCATATTAGGATAGGCTGTCAAGCGATAACTAGTTTCTTGACAAGCTAAATACTTTTATTAGAGCTACAAATCCTGATTCTACAGACCCACAATCACACTTACCATATTGAGCCTAACACCTTTTTGAATTTTCTTCGAGACCCAACTCACTAAAGCGAGTCATTATTTTAGCGTGCTGTGGGCTTGCTGCAGCTGCACATCCCCCACCATCCTACCCCGCAATCTTTTCCACATCTTTTATTATCACCACAACTTTCCCAAGATTGAATTCAGAATCGTGAAAGTAATTCATTTCATCGTGTGTATGTGTCTTCATAGTCATTGGGATATATATTATCATAATAACACTGATCTCTATTTGTACATATTATCTTACACTTTAACATCTGAACAATCTTGAGCCTCCGCAGCAGATACCAGCAGCAGCTCTAATGCAAAGGAACGAACCTGCCAGGTAATCTTGAGTTATTCGCAAAACAAAAAATTTTGGGTCCATTGGCATATTTGGCAACTATTAAGTACGTCTGATATGTCTTCTCACTTTATATTAATACTTCTATCAGTCTTGAATCTGGGCAGAAAGGCTTACATATGACTATGGCAGCACAGCAAAGCTCAGATCGAAGACATGCCGGACAATACGGAAGGACCAAAATTTTCGAACAACACCATTCATCCTCTTGCCATTAGGAATAAGAAGACACCTCAATCGGGCGTGATTGTATCCTATGATGATATTAAGGCTCAAACTCTCGACACAAAACTCCCAAAACCCAAAGAAGAGGTCGGCTTACCTCAAGAAATCATCCGCATCATTTGCTCCTACGTAGACGCAGACGAACTACCCAACCTCAGACTTGTCTCGATCGGCTTCAGCAATGCAGCAGCAGTTCGCATGTATAGAACCATGGATTTTACTTTTACGGCATCATCACTTAAACGTCTCTTGAATGTTGCACACAGTACCAGGCTTCAACACCATGTTTTCAAGCTCAGATATAACGCTAAATGGATGAGCACTTGGCCAATAAGTTGGGAGCCAGAATGTCTTGAATACCACTTCTCTCATCAACGTGAACTAGAGGAAGTTTTGATAAAACTAGTGAATCTCAGCACTATCGAGTTTCGTCCTCGTCACCAAGATCCACAACATACATTGGAGAATCGCCTCGTTACGCATCGAAGAATATTTGATCCATTTTGGAAGTTTTTGACTTCGTCACTTCGTCACGTATCGCGTTTAAGATCGATCATAGCATCCAATTCGTTCCCATACGAAGGCGAAAGTCTCGAAGAGTTCTCTACCGAGGAGATCGGGGCACTTGGGCGTTTAGAGAATTTAACTCTTAGGGTTCATACTCACTTCGGCCGCCGACTTCCCAATCTCCTATATTACATGTCGAATCTCAAGTCACTTGAACTAAGAGAGCTGGTTGATTTGGGTGAAAGAGATTTCTCTGAATTGGTCAATCCAAGTACGAAATTTCGTTCACTGGTTTCTCTCAAACTTGACGGATTCAACTTAAATGAGCGCTATTTCAAACATTTTTTACTCGGAAACGCACACTCTCTACACTCACTCTCACTCCGAAACATGAAACTTGAAATTACGGATAAAGAATTTGAAACTGAGGACTATTATAAATGCAATCAATGGATCCGAATGTTCTATTTCTTTGGCCAATCAATGCGTTTAGAGAATATTGAATTGCATGGAGAGCTCCGCACGTCACTATCAGGAACTTGGTTTGCACAAAATTTTGCGAAGGGGAATGAATCATATGCAGGGACCAATTTGATGTCACAGCTTACAGACTTTATTACACATGCTAAAGGCTCATCATTTCCTTTACCTCATCCAGATGAAGACCTTAGAAACGTCGACTTGAGACTATATGGTGGCACTCGTGGCTTATTTTTGGTTAATATCCTTAGAAGGAATGGAAGTATTAGGCTATTACGAAGAAAATTACACAAACCATCGGTGTATAACGGCTACTTGGACTGGGAGCAACCGGGGTTCGCAGGCTTGGCCATTCAGGATGACACTGAATCTGATGCCTCCCAATATGACCCAGATGAAGTCGTAGTGGAAGTACAAAACATCGCAGAACAAGCAAAAGCGTTTGCGCGGGCAAAGGCCTACTTTCTAGCGAACCAGGATTCATGGAACGATGAGGAGAAAGTTACAATGGCTTTCTTGGTGGATGCAGATCCAATGAGCTTTGAAGTGGAAGTTCCTGCTCCTTTCAATTCACCGAGGAATTTGAACCTAATTTAATACCGGGTCTGGATACAGCTCTTGTGTGTAGAAAGACAGCAGCTGTTTTTGGCATTATTAGGACAACTTTTGTTATTCCTTCTAATTAATATTAATTTTTGTACTTATTGGTTTACCTTCAATGTCTAGGATATATTTTAATAAGAAAGAGGAAGAATTTCTTTGGTTGGAATTGGAATTTATAAATTTAGATTGGGAAATTGTGGCTATAGATATCTTCTTTGCTTCTCCTCTAGATATAAAGATTAAGTTGGGATACTGCGAGGGGTGAGAAGTATGGTGGTATGGTTTTGAACTGCATTTCGAGGGTTCTCGGGGTTATAAAGGATGAGCCGAGATGAGAAGAATTTAATAATATAATATAACTGTGGATATCTTTATAATTTACAGACTTTATATCCATATCATAAGTTATACAATCTTACAATAGCTAGATAAAATGTCATGAAACATAGATATAGAACCTAAGGATCAATTGAATAATTAAATTATTATATTCGATACCTAGGTAAATAAAGAAGAAGGGAAAAGTATTTATTTACAAATACAGATCCTTTTCTTTTCTACCTAGATAGCTAAAGATCTATACACATAACGCCATTTGAAAATTTTTCCACATTAAGATTTTACGCTAGATTTCAACGCTAGATTGCACTAGACTAGACTACATCACATCGCATCACATCGCATCGCCAGCTCAACTAGTGATATGTAACATTGTACACTAACTAACTAGTATCTCACTAGCCCCTCCTCGCTTAAAAATTGGTCTTTTTTTTTGGCTCCTTCCCGAGGTCCTGGTATGTATGTATGGATGGATGGATGGATGGTGGAAAACTTTGTTTTGACTACCTGCCACCTTGAATTTTCCGATTGATACTTTGAATCCTTTTACCGTTTCCTGATTGCTTGGCTGCTTGATTGCTTCTGCGGCGCAACGCATTTTCATATTCTCATATTTCATATTTTCATATCTCATTCTCATGGCTTAAATTTTCCATCTTGAAATGGGTTTGGAGAGCTTCGGATTGTAGGATTTTAGGATTTTAGGAAACTATTATGATGGATTTAGATGGGTCTTTATCGATATCCATATCGTTGGTAGTTGGAGGATGATTGGAGGAATTATTTTGCGCTGTTGTTGTAGCTGTAGTATGTGTATCCATACCCGCATCAGCAATTTCGTTATATCCGAATTCGGAGTCTGTAACTAGGGCGCCGAAGGACGAGGAAGAAGGGTTTGTTGAGGAATTGGATAGTGTTTCTTCATAGTTCTGATTTGCATTTGTCTTTGCATTGACATTGACATTGCAAATGATGGGAAGATTAATGGTATTTATTTCCGCATTTTCAGGGGGGAAATTCATACAGGAGTCGTGCAATGTGTTTGTGGGGTTTATTTCTGATGCGTAGAGGTAAGAGGATGGGGACCAGCAGTTTGAATTGGTGCTTGAGGGGTTTTGGGAAGAGGATACGGATGCGGAATTGATCGATAGGGAGTTGGAGTTGGAGTTGGAATTTGATTGATGCGTTGTTGTAGAGCAGATAGATCCATATCCGCTATCGAGACTTTCGTGACGTAATCGTGGGGCAATTTTGATGGAACTACTTCGTTGTTGGAGATTTTGTGAGTTTGGTTTGTTGAGAGAGGTGGGAGAAGATTGGGAGTTTGGTGAGTTGGTTTCGGAGGTTGATATGGTTAGAGAGGTGGGGATGATCTGGCCTTCTTGGTGGCTTTGGAATGGTGATGTAGGTGAGGAGGTTAGGGGTGATGTCATGGATTGAGTCGCTTGAGTTGCGGAGTATGGTGACTGGAAAGATGTTTCGCTGTGGTTGGAATTTGTGAAACCTGTGGTGGGAATCGATGCAGAGGGTTCCTGAAACGAGGATACAAAATGGTGCCAATTTATGTTTTGGAGTTGCTGTCTTGAATGTTGTCTTGAATGTTGTCTGGGATTTTCAGGTAGCTGTGTTTGCTGTGTCAGAGGTGAATGTTGACAAAAGCTATACGGAGCTGTCTCATCACAATCTGTCAAACCGGAAGAGAGATAACAAGAATCTTCCGCCGCAGTCGCATTCACCGGGTCAGTATTTCCCTGTCCCATCACCACCTCATTTCCCAGCGCAGAACCCTGGGTCTTCAAGCCCAACGCATTGGAATCCTGCCAAAACGGCGCTGCCTCACCACCTCCATCTAATCCTACATCGCCCAAAACCCCCTCCCCCAACCTCGCACTCCTACACTTCTCCACCAATTTCCACGCCTCAACCCCCATATCCCCACTCTCCAACATTCCCCTACAAGCCTCCTCCCTCCTCTCCCAATTCGCCACAAACCTCCTAATAACTCCATCACCGCATCCTTCCCCCACCATACCCTTACAAACCGCAATTAATTCCAACAATTCCTTCCGACTGTCCTCGAGCTGTTTTTTCGTAGCACGTAATTCCGAAACATAGTGATCGTATTTCGCTTGATCAGCAGCCATTTCTGCTTTTTTCTTAAGACGACATTTTCGCGCTGCGCGTCGATTTTTCTCGAGGTATTTTTCCCGTACCATGAGAGTTTCCGCCGGGGTGAGAACTTTTTTCGCACGCGGACGACGCTTCTTTTTCGGGCGGAGAGGTGTGCTAGCGGTGGAAAGGGAAGATGGTTTTTCTTTTAAATGGGGAGAAGCATTTGCTTTTTCTTGTTCGGGGGATTGCTGGGGGTTTATTTGCATGGTTTGAGAATGGGCTTTTTCCATAGTGAATGGAGTATCTTTTGATGGTACTTTGGAGTCATTGCTGGTTTGAGGAGCAGACGAAAGATGGGAATTATCGATCGGAAGTGAATTCTCGGAAACATTAGTGATCAAATTGTTCTGGTTCAAACTCGGCGTCGTCGGAAAATCGGTATTGGCATCTGCCCTAAAATCCTTCATCGCAACGCTCGGGCTTCCACCGAGTTGGTTCTGCTGTTGCTCATTTGCGAGAATATCCGGAATTTCTATGACATCGTCGAAGATCCTCAAGAAAGAATCGTCCGTAATATTGAGATCCGCACCAAAAGCCTACAGATGTTCAAAACCTAGGGACTTGCGGGCTTGAATATCCACATTTGTGGGATTGAAGCTATTTTGGGGTTTTCTTACCTGATCATTTCCCACATTGTTGAGTGAGTCCCAATGCGGTTGCCCTTTCTCTGTTCCCGGTGTGAGGAAGAAATTTAGGGATAGCTTGTTGCTCGTGTATCGCATCATTTTGAGCGCATCTTCGGTGAGAAACTCATCAAATTTGAGCTGGCCAGGATGTTGGTCGTTGAATTTTGTTTGGTCCATTATGCCGATGCAGATACTCGAATTCTTGCTCACCGAATTCGAATAGTGCACTGCATTAAAAGCATTTAGCACATCTCTCTAGTTCTATTGATTGCAGTGGAACTAACCAGTTGTATTAAGCTAGGTTGAATAAGAATCAGGTACGTAGTAAGTTGTTGTAAGATTGAACTGCCCCATGAAAAGGTACCATACCTGTGAAATTGCTGTGGTAAGAGGGGGTTTCGCAGTTCGTTTGCAGAAAAGTATCCGTAATTAGACTAGGATATTTAACAAATCTGGTAATAATATATCAATCAAAAAGACTTCTCCCTTGCCTATGTCTATCTTACTATTCGTATGAATAAGGAATAGAATATGTGTGAGTACGCAGCAAAATGAATGAGGGGCAATAAATATAGCAAAGCATTTATATACAAACTTTCCTCCATAAAGCAATCAAAAAAAAGCCGCCATGACATCACGCCACTATATCAATAGTCCACAATTCCTCTGGACATCGTCAGTTTCGAAATCAAGCTTTCGCTGTATATCCCCGCATTTTGCAAATTGATTGGGAAAAACGTTAAATGGGTGGATGCAAATATCAAGTTCTTTTTATGCAAGCCAGTGATGCATTCGTATTTCGATATGGTAGGCATCGGAGAAGAGGTCCGGTGGCGATATCCAATCATTGGATTCCTCTTCCCCTTACCTTGCCTTTGTTCTGTTTCAGCAACAGTGAGAAGCACATGTAAAATTTTACAAGGCGCTGCTATAAAAAGTCTAGTATATTTTTATAGACAACAAAACTATTATCTTCTTATCTTTTGTAACAACAAGCAATCATTGAAGCTTTCGAGTCACGCCTGCGAAGCGAGTTTTGAAAAGTCCAACATGCGAGCTGGACAACGAAAATGAGTTTTGAGCAACAAACAAGCCATTGGGGAAATCTCCACGTTAGAGTTCGGATCTCTCGATGCTCTCAAAATTGTGTAGAGGAATAGTACAAAGGGCTGAGATGATATTCTTCATGGTACTCATTCCTTTCGTGAAGATTGAATTGTGTTTCGATATATTGCTATTAGATTTGCTCTAATTTTCTGTGCATATAAAGCATTCCTGGTCAGGTTAAAATCTCATACGGTTTTCTTGCTTAGCGTCCGAACTTTGAGCCCATTGAGCAATTCGATGTCCCTATTCCATTGTTAAATATACTGGGCGATGATGGCAGAAAAACTTGATATAAATACACTTACAAAAGCAAGAGCATCTTCTGCCGAAAAATTCCATGGTGGCGGATATGCAACTAGAACTTGAATGCAGCAGAAAAGCACCAAACTAACAAATTCTACCATCCCAAAATGTGCAGCTTCAAATCTCGATCATTCCAAAAATCCCTTTATCAAAAGGAAAGTTTGCATTCGGCAAATGCCATAAGGCACCGAAGCATAAACAGATAACAACAAGAAAAACCTCCCCTTTGTTCTTGATATTAGCTGACAATTCACCAACTCACAGAACAAAAAAGATAGAATCCCCATGACATGGCAAATCATTTTCACCATTCAAACTGGCCGGAAATCTGCGAAATGCCATGGCATCCTTACCTATCTCATCTGATCCATCCCTATGCATCCTTTCTTGTGGCTCTCCTTACCAATAATTTGACCCTTTTAGACCCCTCTTTCCAAGATTCAAAATTGCATACCGCCGAAAAATTGGCGAATGCAAAAGATCTTTTATTCTATGGGACCTTTCCATATTTCTGGAACCAATTGAAATTCATCTGCCCCTTCGAAGTTAAGGCGGTGAGACGATTTTGGATATCTAGAACAATCAACCGATGATTTTCCAGGCAAAAATTATCGGAGGCATCTCCGCACTCCGAATGTGATCTATTATTGATCAATGGCAATTATGTAGGTTGGGAGGTCAGTCCACATTCGCTGCTCGAGATACTTCCGCGTAATTCAACGCTGGCTGTTTCCTTTTTCGTACTACAACCAGGAAAATTGATTCTAGACAGGTTTGCGATTTCTTTCTACGCGGAAGGTGTAAATAGAATTCTTGAATACGTTCTGTTCTATATTAGTGTCATTTATCGCCACATGAAATTGTGTTTTGGGTTGCGCTCACTATTAGACCTGAGATATCTTTCGTAAAAACCCACCGTATCACTGTATATTTGTATTTCGAAGGATATAACCCTCACTGATTGTGGTCGACCCAAGATGCGCAATTGGCCAATAAATTAGGCTTGCACTTGATTGGGTGGGACAAATAAAGAGACGTGCCATAAAGCAAGCAGAGCCACGGAGAAAGGAAACGCTCACCTAAACAACTAACTAATGCAAAAAAGAGGCCACGGGCCGTAGAACAGGGTATAGTAAAAGGCTAGCCTAGTCGCTGGAAGTATTATATATGGCTCAGGCCTTTGGAGATGTCTCCGAGGAGCAGGAAACCGGAAATAAAAGCAGTATGACATGCGAATAGCGGAAGAAATTTCAATATTGGCTAGTTTTGATTTCCATCCTCCATGACGAGACACCATCATGAAACGTAAAACCCTGATGACGATTAGGGAAAAATAGAACGGATATGAAAAGAACGGGTAGGTAATGAATGCGGGTGAATATTGGAGCGGCCCACTGCTGCATATGCTATAGTACAGTTTAGTGATAAGTGACCGTACAAGGGAAAAGTGAAGCATCCAAACGTAACATCGTGGGGTTCGCGCTGGGGTTAGTCGGGTAGTTCCTTTAGCCTTGCATTCTCATCGGTCCTTCGCCGCAATGTAAGAACATGGGAGTATACTTTTGTCAATGCGATGCAAATACAAATGACGCATGCGGTGGAGAAGACATTCCCTACCTCCCACATCTTACTACATCGCACATTTCATGTTCGAGATGCGAGACCAAAAACGTGCTTCGCATCTTGCTTCACATCTTGCTTTACAGGCCAAGCTGGCACAGCTCTCTATCCATGCCTCGTTGCCGCACAGTCCCTAGCTTTAATATGCAGGTTCAATATTTGACCTCCCACTTATGTTCTATGACCAAAACATGCGTCTTTCCTACTTATTCAGGCTATTGGACATCGGCTAACGATAAATCAAAGTAGGGAAGTTATGCAGAGTCCACTTTTGACGAAGAAAATCTCTACGCAAAAAAAGAAATTGAGTAAATGTAACAGTAAAAATAGAATTGCGTATAGTGATCTCTTATGACAGATAGAGCGAGGTCTTATCGTGTATATTTATCCGCAATCCTTCAAAACCTGGTGATGGCTTTCGCGATAGTGTTTAGAAACGATTTATTGCCCAGTGGTCTGGAGGTGGCAAAGCTTTAGAGACAAGGCTATGTGAATTACGCATGATCTGGAGAGTAGACAGGCTCGTATGATGCAGGTACGTGGAAAAGTAACGTAAGGGAAGGAATGCTTAGGAATGTTCGGAAACAAACATTGATACTGGTGTCTGTTTGCTCTCAAATCTCGAATGAGCTAATGAGCTACAAGGAGATTTCTGCTACAGTCGCTGCTTGCATATTGAATCGCCAGTTTTCGAAAGAGGTAACGGCTGCAATATCACCAGTAAGCTATGATACCTACTGAGGGCTTGTCAAATACTCTCAACAGTCTCATATCTATGTCTGGTGAGGTTACTTGCCATTTCCATTTTTAAAATATGAAGTGAGTTATCAACGATGATTAGATATTGAAGCTATAGCCAAGTTCGAAGGAACTCATCCTGAGATTACACAGATCTTTCAAAAGGAAAATCGTATTTCTCTTGCTTTCCTGACCGCAATCAAATCAAGGCATACTTCTGGCAGTCGGATTTGTCAATCATGATAGTTGTTCCCTGGCATGGAGTGCGTGTTGGGAGGTGGGGTCCGAATGAGAATTTCGCAAGCATGGGCGCTTTTCAGTACCAGCCATGCCATTAACTTTTAGTGGAATGGCTATCTGCAACCCCTACAAATCAGAGAAGTTAAAAAGCTCGTAAGACTGTAAGCAAGGCTAAGCTATTTCCTCTTTCTTCTTACCAAGGACAGCCGTGGGTGTTACCACACGAAGAATCCAGATTGCCAAGTGAACGTATCCTAAATGGGAGTCGCCAGAATGCTTCGCCATCTGAATTCAAACTCCAAACACATATTATAGTGTCTTTGGGACGTTTTTGAAGTATGCTAGTGGTGTGGTTCGTCGGTCGTCAGTCGTTCACTTCAATAGTGAATGACCAACACTCAAGATGGTAATTCGTAGTTCGTGGCTAAATTCGCAGAGTCGCATACCGAGGGTCGAACATTAGTGCAAAGCTCAAACACCTTTGAATCATACTCACCCTTCGCCCCATAGAGAGCCTCCGCTGCTTGAAGCTTCAGGGCCCGTCATCTCCGAAGCCGGGTTTTCGTTTATCCCAAGCGCTGTGGAAAACCCCAAGGCATAACGCATGACCTTGAAAGTTTGTCATTAGACACCATGTATAGAAGGATCTATCTGACTTGTGTGAGGAGAGACAAATGAAAATATTCTTCGATATATTCTTCGAGGACCTTTCAGCTCCTGAGGGTGGAAGAGAAGTGATTGACAATTCGACTGAGTGATAATTGAAGAGTTTTGTGGTGTCGTGTGTTGGTCCAAGCGTCTTGACAAGTAGCGTGGCTTAATTAAGGTTAAATCGGCTGCTGTTCAAAAGTAACCTTACACTGAGAGTTTTCTGTCCTATCACGGTTACGGAAGTCTTCTCCTTTTTCTTCATTTAATGCTAAAGTGTCTACTCGAATATCATTCTTTCCTTTTGGTTTCATTGATGTGGTTGCTCGATTATACACCAATAATATATCAATCTCGATGTCAAAATAGGTACGATACGAAGGAGGCATTCTCAGCATCCTGCACACCGGAGAAATGGGTGGTAGGTTAATTAGTCCGCCCTAATTGCTACTCCATACATATTTCATGATGATCTCTCATTCGATCTTTAAAACTCTTGGCCAAGGTCCTTTAACGTAATCGTGGCCTCTTGCTTTACCATTAACACACGCATCACTTATCGAAGCCCATATCTCAATACTATTTCTAAATTACCAATGATATTTTGTTTATCGCGATAATACGGTCTCATCATGATGCGCCTACAGGTTCGTCGCATTGTAATCGTCGCCGTCATTTTCAGCGCGACCATTGCATACATTCTGTACACCCAAACCAATTATGTCACGTGGCCTCACACTGAACCAAATGATTCAGTGATTCATGAACCATCACCTCCCAAAACAAATCCAGAGTTAAAGGTACCAGATTCAAGTTCATCAATTCCATCATCAGATGATGAACCCCAACAGGATGCTGCTTCGTCAAATTCCTCATCGAATAATGAGGTAGAAACTGCACCGGCTGACAATGCTCCCCTCAAGGAAAATGAACACAAACAACCAGATGAGAAAACCCATGGTACCGATCAGGATTCCAAACTTCTTTCCGATGCAGCCTCAACACCGGTGCCCATTGTACCACCTGTTACGTGCCCAACTTACGCAGAGATTCAAATGATGAAACACGATCCATTATCTGAAGGACAGGAAATTTCCTTATTCTCGCCCTGCACCAGAATGTCGAACGTTCAATCTTCCTTCGTTAGAAAAGCTCATTGGGCAGATGAAGACAATTATCAAGGATCCTGATCTTTTCCGACTTTTTGAGAACAGCTATCCAAATACCTTGGACACCACAATTAAATGGAGGGGATATGCAAATAAGATTGATCCTGTTACCAAAAACGAGACAGCCACAGATGAAGAGCTTACATTTGTTATCACGGGCGATATCGATGCAATGTGGTTACGGGATTCAGCGTCTCAAATTTATTCATATCTTCCACTACTCGAAGCGTCTGACAATCGAGATTCCCTTGCAAGTCTATGGCGAGGACTTATCAATCTTCACGCAAGATATATTATCATCTCACCATACTGTCATAGTTTCCAGCCCCCGCCAGAGTCCGGTCTCCAACTTCAACATAACGGAGCATATAGTCAAAACCACCCCATTCCACCTTATGATCCCAAGAAAGTCTTCGACTGTAAATGGGAACTTGATTCTCTAGCCTCCTTCCTCCAAGTTTCTACGGCCTACTATCAACGCACAAATGATCTATCATTCTTCCAGAAATACTCTTGGATTGACGCTATGTCCGCAGCTATAGACGCTGCTGGTGCAATGAGACTCGGCACTTACTCACCAGAAGGCAAAGTCCAAAAGTCCGCATGGTCATTCACCGGCTGGACAAATCGTGGCAGTGAAACACTAACAAATGACGGTCTGGGTAATCCTACCAAACAAAATGGAATGGTAAGAAGTGCATTCCGTCCCTCAGACGATGCATGCATATATCAACTTTTTGTTCCCGGAAACATGATGTGGGCAAAATATCTCGAAGAAGCATCCCTCATTATGGAAAAATTGGACGGCAAAAAGGCCGCTAACCTCACCACGTCCATGCGAGAACAAGCATTCGGAATCCGAAAAGCCATAGATCGCGATGCTATAACTCATCATCGTCAGTTCGGTGATATATACGCCTATGAGATTGACGGCTATGGCGGCCATAATCTCATGGATGATGCTAATGTCCCATCACTACTCGCCATTCCACTATGGGATTACGAAAATTCTTCATTCCCATTACCAGAGATATTCGAAAGCGATGGACAACAAGGAGGTAAGAAAATCCAAATCCATCACGCAAAAGTATACAACAACACTCGAAACTTCGTCCTAAGTCAAGAAAATCCCTATTTCATGCAAGGTCCCGCGATCGCCGCAGTCGGAGGTCCCCATTTAGGCCCTGGTAAAAGTTGGCCCATGGCCGCCATAGTCCGCGCTCTTACAGCCTTGGAAACGGCATCGAAATCAGGAAAAGGAATCGCGAGTGTGGAGAAAGAAGTAGTAGATCAGCTTATGATGGTACTGGATAGTACTGGTGGAACGGGAGTTATCCACGAGAGTGTCAATGCGTGGAATGCGAAAGATTGGACTCGAGCTTGGTTTGGGTGGGCGAATGGACTTTTTGGGGAATTGGTCATGAGGATTTCGAGGGAGGATCAGAAGGCTGGGAATGCGGGGGCGGGTTTGTTGGGGAGGAGTTGGCAGAAGGAGAAGGAGAAGGATGGGAGTGCGGGTGGGAATGGGAATGCGTAGTCTCTTATACGTATAGTGAGAATTGAAAATTGGATGGTTGGCGTTGGGTGGGCTTGGGTTATGGGTTATATGATAGGATACGATAGGTAGCTTCTGATATATCAGTGAAAATATAACGGTTTGGATTATGAGCAGAATTGAATATTAAATTACTGGGATTTCTATTAACGTGGTTTATCACCGAGTGGATCATATCACCGAGTGGATCACTTCCACCTCAATTCTTGATCTCCCACTTCAACACGTGTTTTATCAATCAATTGAAATGCAATCGAATAATAAAGAAGCTCGAATACTTTTAGCTATTGAGGCTATTCAAAAAGACAAAAAACTCAGTATTCGAAAAGCTGCCAAGCTATATAATTTACCATATACAACACTCAATCACAGAATGAATGGTTTTACTCCCCGCGTCGAAACTCGAGCGAATTGTTATAATCTTACAAAGTTAGAAGAGGAGGTGATTGTTCAATATATACTTGATATGGATAGTAGAGGGTTTCCACCTAAAATTAAAGGTGTGGAAGATATGGCGAATTATATTCTTAAATTAAGAGGTGTGAAGAAAGTTGGAAAGCTTTGGGTTCATCGATTCGTAAAGTGTCATATAGCATTAAAGATGTGTTTTAGTTGTGTTTATGACTTTCAGAGAGCTCTCTGCGAAGATCCCAAGTTTATTGGAGAATGGTTTCGATTGGTATCGAATATGCGAGCAAAATATAGTATTCTCGATTGCGATTTCTACAATTTCGACGAAACCGGCTTTATGATGGGTATAATATGTCCCGGAATGGTTGTAACTAGTGCTGAACGAAATGGCAGAAGCAAGGCAATACAATCAGGCAATAGAGAGTGGGCTACAGCGATTATATGTGGTAATGGGGAGGGTGAAACTATACCCCCATTTCTGGTGGTTCAAGGACAGGTTCATCTTTCCAATTGGTATACCGAAACCGATTTTCCTGCGGATTGGGCTATTAAACCTACTTCCAATGGATGGACAAACAATGAGACAGGTTTAGAATGGTTGAAACACTTCAATAAGCATACTCTGAATCGAAGAAAGGGCAAATATCGAATGTTGGTGTTGGATGGGCATGAAAGCCACGAATCTGTAGCTTTTCAGTCATATTGCAAGGAGAATGACATTATATGTGTCAAATTACCACCGCATTCAAGTCATTTAACTCAACCACTTGATATTGGCTGTTTTAGCAATCTGAAACGTTCATATGGTGGTCAAATTGATGAATTTATCAAGGCACATGTCAATCATATATCAAAGGTTGAATTCTTTGCAGCTTTCAAAGCTGCATATCAAGAATCAATTACAGCTCAGAATATGAAATCAGGATTCCGAGGAACAGGTCTAATACCATTTAATCCTGAAGCTGTACTTTCGAAACTAGATATTCGAATTCATACGCTTACCCCTCCTCCTTTCGATCCAGATATATGGATCTCTCAAACCCCTCACAATCCAACTGAAGCTCTTTCACAATCAACTTTAGTAAAATCTCGAATAACTCGTCATCAATCAAGCTCCCCTACACCTATATTTGAGACTGTACTAGCTCTAGCTAAAGGTACAGAGAAATTAGCTCATGAGAATACACTTTTAAATGTAGAGATTCGTACACTTCGAAAGGCAAATATAGCATTAAGCAAACGTCGATGCGCAAAAAAAACTCAATTGCGTCAAGGAGGAGTACTTACTGGACAAGAGGCTGCAGATATATTATCTCAACAAGAGGTTGATATTCAGATTCAACGCGACGAGCATCAAAAAGGGGGGAATTCTAATGGGGAAGCATCTTCTAATCGATGCTGTAGTAAGTGTGGAAAAACAGGACATAATGCAAGAACTTGTCAAAACAGTGTAATAGATCCTAGATTATTAGATTCTTAATAGCTTTAATCAATTGATTCAATTGTTGTTGAATGATACGAGTTTAAAGTGGTAAGTTGAGGTGAAAGTGATCCACTCGGTGATATGATCCACTCGGTGATAAACCACGTTATTGTATCTCGATATACTAAATCTTCCATGTATATTAAAATATAAACTGTCAACAAAAATCAATTAAAAATCACATCTATATCTATGACTTAATTAACACACCAAAGACAAGACAAATAGATAAAAATTCCTAATCACAGAGTAGAATATCAATATATCATCTTCCCTTTTATAATAATCGTAACCTTTAACCATTTCCTTCCCACTTCACTTTCACTATTATTCGTGAATAGGTAGATTATTCTCTCAGATTTGTAGGTTGTGGGTTAGATGTTGGATGTTGGATATTGGATATTGGATATTGGATATTGGATATTGGATATTGGATATTGGATATTGGATATTGGATATTGGGATATCGAGTGTGAGATAATTTTCACATGCGATATAGATTAATTAGTTGATATCTGCGCTTCCTTCCATTCTTAATTACTTGGCAGAACTCTCATGATTTCCCAACAGAAATAATCAAATAGAATCACTTAATGCATCAGGAGATTAATCTCTCTCTCTCTCTCTCTCTCTCTCACTCTCTCTCTCTCTCACTCTCTCTCTCACACTCTCTCTCACACACTCTCTCTCACTCTCACCCACTCTCTTTCACTCTCACCCACTCTCTTTCACTCTCACTCACTCTCACTCACTCTCACTCTCTCTCACTCTCTCTCACTCTCTCTCACTCTCTCTCACTCTCTCTCACTCTCTCTCACTCTCACACACTCTCTCTCACTCTCACCCACTCTCTATCACTCTCACCCACTCTCTTTCACTCTCACTCACTCTCTCTCACTCTCTCTCACTCTCTCTCACTCAATATAATTAAATACCAAAATTTCTAAATAGTATTTATATACAGATATAGTTATGCAAATCTTAGATAATGAATTAAATTCTCGAAAATGGGGATTTGGGGTGAGAGGTTGAAGGGGAAATATATAAAATTAAATACCTAGCTAGTACTTCCTTCTACTTGATTTAAATTTGAAGGGTTGAATGGGTTTTTTCTTTTGGATAATTATATCAGTAGAATGAATACTTACTCTAAGAAAAGGATGTGGATAAAAGATTGGACCAGAGGAAATCAAGGAAAATTAATCAAAATGCCTTGTCTTTCCAATGCAATAACTCCAGATCCCTTCCTCATCCCATCACTGCTCTTCATCCCCCATTCCTCCTTCCACTCTTCGCCTCCACCTTCTCCTTCTCCTCCTCTCTATCCACCCTCTCCTCCTCTCCATTCGCCCTCTCAAAAGCCCTCATAGCCTCCCTATACCATCTCATCCTCTCACTCCCCAACAAACTACATCTCCCCCCATCAACCGCCTCTTTCAACAACGGCAATTGAATAATCGCCGAGAAAGTATCCAGAACTTTTTGAATGGGTTTATTATGTCTAGCAGCAACAGCTGCGAATGGAAAGGTATATTGACTTGTCTGGGCTATGTCTGTAATTCTGATTGTGGGTTAGTTTGGATGGGATAGATGTGAAAGATTGGGTGAGAGAAACTTACAGGTTTGATGAGTGGTTCGGTGCGGTCGTTTTTCGTCTTGGTGGTTGTGGTATTGGATTTTGCAGGGAAGATAAGGCGGCGTTTGGTGTGTAGGAAGTGATGGATTTTGGTTGTTGGGGTATGGTTGAGTGGTGGGTTTGTGAATTGTTAATCATATCATTGTATGTTTTATTTTGACGTTCATCGAGAGATACAGAGGGAGAGGTTTGGTTAGTATCTGTCGAAGGTTGCCATGCAGGTATCCTGTAAAGCGAAGGCCTGCGGCGTATATCTGCTGCACTTACGTGAGAAGGGGGAGGCGGAGGTGGAGATGGAGAAATGTTTCTGGTAGGCGCAACCGCGGCTACCGATTGTGGATTCGTCGTGGGCCTTGATGAATCCATAGAGGAAGATCGCGAAGGTTGAATGCCTGTGACGGATGTAGGTAACTTCTCAGGCATAGTAGATGGTTGAGAAATTCGTTCTTTCTGCATCGAGGAATATGCATATGGTGTCGATATGGGTTGATATTCAAGTGGTATTGATTTCGGCGATACCAATTCTTGAGCGAATTTCTCATTCTGGGAGTTCAGGATTGATATATTTTGTGGGTTGAGCCAACGAGATTCGCCATTACCATAATAGTATTTGCGGTGCCATTCTGGATCGCTGTTAATATCAGGGAGCATTTTTCTATGTGACCGTCTAGGGGGTGGAGAATCGGAAGATCTCCAGGAAAAATATTGCCAACCAGGTATAGTTGGCCGATGTGGCGGCAGAGGCGGCGGTACTCCGCCGAAAGTAGTTGGGACATTTGGATCTTCTAAAAAGTCCACAAACCCAGTATGGCCCGAAACGGAACCATATTCCTCATGAGAAGCTAAAGGTTTTGCCCTTGATTCATTCGTGGATGCCGAAGATACGTATGGCGACACACAATTGGAATTTTCGAATGAATTTTCCTCACGCTTCCGTTTATTGGTATAAGCTTGCTCTGGGGCTGTGGAGACGGTCGACTTTGAGTAATATGGTGGTGATGTTGGTGAAGGCGGCGGAGGCATGGATTTAGAGTACCAAGATGGTTGAATTTTGAACGGTATGATTTGAGATATATGCGAAGTAGATGGCTCAGATAACCCCGATTGCGGACCGTTCAGGAGTTGACTGAAAGAGCCAGATGTAGTAGGGGATTGCAAGCCATGGAGTGACCGACATATGCTCATATTCATACCGTCAAGGCCAGGACCGGGACTAAGCAAAGGAGCCTCTGCAGCTATAGATTTATCTGACGACAAATGTGTAAGTGGAATTTCGGCGCATGGGCTAGGACTAGTCGAGTTGATATGAGTGCTCTGTGGAGGGAGCCCCAGCCTAGTATAACTTCAGTTTAGCATGACTTCGTGAAAGCAAGATTTTGCCACACCTTCTGCGCCTTTTCTTCCTACGCCGAGGGACTGAAAACACAAATTCTACTTCATGGTCTGCATGTTCCTTGGCCGATTTTTCTGTTGAGGCTCCCTCTGGCACTTGCTCGGTGGTTTCAATACTTATAACAGGTTGAGAATCATCCTCTCGGGGCGAGCTGTCACTCTGAGATAGTGAGATACTTTGAGATTTTGAAATGGGAGCAGTTTGAGGTGATACTTGTGAAGTAGCACTTGATATATCAACATGTTCAGCTCCAGTCATCATGAAGAGTGGGCAGGAAGCAAGATGTTAAAAAGTGTGGAAAAGGAGGAACTGCTGAGAATATAAAAATGAGACATAAATTAGGTAAAGACACAAAGGTCGATGCCGAGATTGTCATCTTTTATCATACCATCTTACCGTGTTTGACATTGGCATACATAGTGACGGTGAAGGAATTAGCATATTTTACCTCTAGTAGTCTTTAGGCAGTGAAAGATATAATGGAAAATCACCTTCTGCTTGGAGATGCATTTTGTTTTGGCACCTTTCGTTTGTTTCCGAGGACATGCTATTGTCATTTGGTAGGTTAGAAAATGAGAAGAGATATTCATAAATACAAGGAAATAGATGTATATTATCTTAAAAAAAGGGGTAGTAGTAGCAGTAACAGTAGTAAATTCACAATCCATTTAATTTAACTAAAGCTAAAGCTATAGAAAAGGAGATGAAAAGCCTTGTAGCTGTAAAGTCTATCTACTCGTTTCCAAGAGCTTGATCGATAAACTCGTGAGCAAACGGCAAGGGTAATCTTACTAGAGGCGAACTTAGTAGCTACAGCGACCATAAAACTACACTACCTACACCACTTACACCACTAGTGCACCTCCCACACTTCAATATGAACCGAAGTTTAACCGCAGCAATTAACGATAAAGCTCCCACTATCTCCATATCACATCACATCAAATCAAATCGAATCAAACAAATGAACAAACAAACAGAAGACAAAAGACAGATTCAATAACACATCAACTTATTCAATTACCACACAATATAGCAACATTACTTCTTTACGCGCAACTCTTTGGCAGAAGTTTAAAGATGGCTGTGGACAACCATAATTCTCTACTTTCAACACAGAAGTCTTCTGATTCTGGGCTCCAGGTAGCTCTACATCCTCTTGTTCTTCTCACAATCTCAGATTATATCACAAGACATACTTTACGACAACAAACTGGACCTGTTGTAGGAGCATTACTGGGTCAACAAAATGGTCGTGAAATTACTATTGAGCATGCATTCGAGTGCCTACTTCAAGAGACAGAGGAAAATGAAGTAAAGCTATCACCAAGCTGGTTTGAGGCAAGATTACAGCAGAGTATGTACATCCTGTTTGTGGCGGCAACATTTGAATACTGACCTTTCACAGTGAAGGATGTTCACAAAGTCCCTCCTCTTGATCTTGTTGGCTGGTACACCGTAATTCCTAGCTCTGGACCACAACCTATCCACCTACCCATTCATCGACAAATCCTCTCTACATACAATGAGTCTGCTATTCTACTTGGGTTCCATCCTGAGGAAGCGCTTGGTGGCGCGGCTGGTGGAAAGTTACCTCTCACAATATACGAAAGCAATTATGAGGCAGAGGAAAGCAGTGGGGAAACTGGCGAGGATAAGGAAATGAAGGACGAAGAACCACAACTCAAGCTCAGATTCAAGGAACTTCCATTTACTGTCGAGACTGGCGAAGCAGAGATGATCAGTGTTGACTTCGTGGCCCGTGGTGGAGGCAATGCTACAGCTGTAGATGGTACCAGCAATAAAGTTGCTCCCGCAGAAGGTAAGGGCAAAGGCAAGGCAACATCCGAAGACACGATTTGCCCGGAAGCCCCGAAACGCGAAGAGGCCAGTTTATCACGCGAAGACGAGGAACAAATCGCCTCACTAACTGCGAAGGCAAACGCTATCAAGATGCTACAATCTCGAATCAATCTGGTTGCCGCCTACCTCCAAAATCTTCCGCCCTCCTACGTATCTGATGGAGTTGCTTCAGAATCCGATATCGAATCTAAAAATTACGCACCAGTCAACCACTCAATTCTCCGCTCTATTCAAGCCCTCCTCGGTCGTCTTAGTGTACTCATACCCGCCAACAGTCAAGGTTTTGAACACGAACTCATTTCTGAAAAGAACGATGTCAGCCTTATCTCCCTCCTCAGCGAGCTCACAAAATCAGCGCAGGATATTAGAGAGACAGGAAAAAAGTTTGCCATTGTAGAGAATGGAAAGATGAGCAGGATGATGAAGCAGGATCGTGGCATGGGTTGGGGCGATCAGAGTCATCCAATGCGAGACGTAATGAATGCTGGAGATCTTCTTATGTGATAGGGTTGTCTTGTTATCTTTGAGCGATTTTTACGGCGCATTTTTGGTTTGGGCGTATGGAGAGGAGGCATACAGGCGTGCAAGTGGTGCGCGATTTACATCGTTAAGAAAAAGGCAACTGGCGTACTTTGCATGTGGCATTTTTGATATCATGAGAATGAAGCCACGAATGAAGGAAAAATAGATAAGCAATGATTATCTGACATGACATGAATTTGAGATTTCCGCTTTCATATTTCATCTCGCTAGACAGCATTGAAAGTTATTTCTACAATGGATTTTTCCACAATCCTGTGCTCTAACTTCTGGACAATGCGATCTTACTAGGGCAAATCTCGCACGACGTGCAACGCATCATTTGACTTGATGTAAACAGAACTCTCAACATACCAAATGTTCAAGTTGAGTGGAAGAGCGATATCAGTTTATCGTATCAAAAATACCACCTGCATCTCAAATTAGCATCAAGAGATGTTTCGGACTCGAGCTATTCTTGAATGTAATGTGTGATGTGGAGTTAGACATCAAGATGATATGGCCTGATAGTTAAGACGGCAGAATAGATATGCGTGATAGAGTGTAATATCATGAAATTAGATAGTGTAATACAAGGAGAAGTAAGAGAAAAAACTAGGATAGATTTATTAAATGGGAATAACTACATAATCATCTCCAAACAAACACCTAGCATACTCAGTCTACCTCAAAATTGAAGCACAACTCTAGTTCCATTTCAATTCCCTCCCATCTACCGAATCTATCCATCGGCCACGTTCCTAAACTTGTCCAAAGTCATATATATGAAAAGTGAATAACGAGATCGTGTACGCAAAGAACCCATTACTCCCACACACATACCCATTCATCTTCAAACTCCTCTCAGACTCCAACCAACATCTATCTCTAAACCTCAATAACCACCTTCAAAACCAAATTCCCCTGCTCATCCACCGTCTTCCCCGCCAACTCAAACGCATCCTTCGCATTACCCAACCCACTAAACCGATGCGTAACCATATGATCCAAGCTCGGCAATCCTCCTTTCCTCCCACTAGCACCCAGCATTCTAATCCCAATCGGATACGTATTTGCATATCTGAACACCCCTAGAATGTCTACTTCACGGAGATGCGCCGCGGAAAGAGGAAGTGTCTGGATGGGTGTTCCCATACCTACCATTATCACTTTGCCGCCCGGTTTGGTGCTGTAGATGGCAGTTTGCATGCAGATTTCCTTGCCGGTGCATTCAAATGTTATATCTGCGCCTTCGTGGTCGGCTTCTCCGAGAATATCTTCTTCGGATGTGGTGCTGAGGATATCACCTGCGCTGCTTTTTGCAAAATTGAGATGGTCCGAGATGCTGGTGTAGGAAGAAAGAGGTGTGGTAGTGCCGGAGGACATAGATGGTGTCGAGGTTCCAGATGAGGGGTTTGTAGATGGAGCGGTGGAATTGGTGCTGCAAGCTGGGATCACGTAGCCGTGCGTGGCGAATCCGTGCTCTAGTGCGTATTGGACCCGGTTGGCCGATATGTCGGTTATGGTCACTATGGGGCAGCCGGATTGACGGGCCATGGCTGCGACGAGTAGACCTACTGTTCCGGCCTGGATGAGATGTTAGTAAAGTGGGGCAGATAGCAGAGTAGACACTGAAAATTTAACGATATCACGTTGAGGAAGTATCAGCCGGTAGAGGTACTTACTCCGATGACGACAGCCGTAGATCCAGGTGTAGGAGCAGCTCGATTCAAGGAGTGTATGGCCACCGAAAGTGGTTCAAGAAGTGCTGCAGCATCGAAGGAGATATGATCAGGAAGTCTATGCAAAGCATTAGCAGCTGCTTATCATGAGCACAGATTGTGAGAACATACTTATGACACCAAACAGCTGGATGATTGATCCTCTCTTGCAGGGTCCCCTGAAAATGAGGAACACTCTTCGCACTACTCCTAAACCTCATCTTCTTACACAAATTGTATCTCCCTTTCCTGCAGATATCACATTGACCACATGAGATGCCCACCTCAAGGGCAACTCTGTCACCGATGGAAAAGCCATTGACTTGTGGCCCGATTCCTACAACCACACCCGAAGCTTCATGGCCAAGAGATAGAGGTGCACAAGCACATAAATCGCCATTGGCGAATTTCTTGTAGTAGCTCACATCTGAACCGCATATACCGGTTGATTTGATCTGGACTTGGAGCTCTCCGACCAGAGGTTCGGCGATATTGTGAACTTCCTGGAATTCAAAGTTAGTTGGGACTCTCTTAATAAATGAGCTAGAAACAACGTCGGATGAATTTCTCTTACCAATCTCACATCTTGTATCCCGTGGAGAACACTACTGAGAATAGTAGAATCCTTGGTCGCGTGGGATGCGGCCTCCACTTCCCTCACATTTTCATTGTAAGCCGGTGCCATTCTGAATCACTGTGTAATATATCGAAGATATGAGGTAACAAAAATGTCTTCTTAGTGCTTTGACAAGAAAGAAAAGTGTGGGGGGTTGACGAATTCTTGTCTTTGCCCACTACCCCATAGTGAGCCCCCAAACTTATACCGTTTATCTTTCTCCCCTGGACAAGGATTGGCGCCCTCATTGTCAAGTCAGGCAGCCTGTAGCTATCTACAGTATCAGTATTGATTTCGAATGCGAGATATCTATCATGTTGCTATCCATCGAGCAGTGTACTTGGTGACAAATAATTGGAGTATTGTGAAAATGCATATAGCCCATGCATCTGTACTATGCAGACGCAGGCGCGGAAGCACACCATAATTGTGTTAATTTTGTGCTTTCTCGGACTCGGACCTTTTGGTGCTGTGTGAGGGTACTTTGCGATTGGAGTGGAGTACACTTCATTTCATGTATCTTCGATTAGTGAAGATCCTAAGAAGATCGTATGGTCAGTAACGGCAGATGAAAGATACAACATTGCCGGACATTTGGCTTCAGCCAGAACGTTCAAGATGCCTCTTTGGCTAGAAAAACTTCCGAGCCCCTCAATTAACACTTATATCAAGTAAATGATACATTGCCCCTCCTTTGCGTTTGCCTTTCGACTGCAGCGCACATCATTGAAGTGGCAATTAGTACATATCAACTAATGTACTGATACAATGCCGGATGTAGAACTATGGGAGGCCTGGATCCGATAAGACGTCTGATTCATCCGAACCCATAACTCCCGTCGTCTGCAAGAGAAGAGTGGGGAAGCTGTATGGAGTATTGAGTTTTCCGTGATTGATTGTAACCAAAAGTCGAATGTTGACAATCATTCTGCTACGTACCCCAGATTTTCTTCACACCTTGGTGAATTAAAATTGGGGTGTCTGTTCTACCAATGCAGGAGCTCTTGTCAATCGTCGATTTACCCATTGACCGTTTAATGATAGATTCTATTGTAACCAAAAAAGTCGACAGAGATTTTGGTTGCATAAATGGCGCGTTTCTTTAATTCATGGAGTTTGGTAAGGCTGTTAGGATTCGGATGGCATGATACTGATAGGGGATTCAAAGAGGCGATATTTTTATTTTCTGCCGATAAGAAAGCCAAGATTTGATACGAAGTTCGTCATGGCGCACATACTGGGTATATTTTCACATTTTCTCATACTTGCTGGAGGATTCCCACTTTCACGCAGGAGTGAGGTGGCAATAGCGAATTGAGTAGCAGCGAATAAATGCTTAATTCGATTTGCAAATGAGCAAGCAGCCGGGGACGATCCAGATTTTTCAAATACTTGGATACAAACGTAAGAAAGAGCTAGATGGCTTGATTATTTGTTCATGTCCCTCTTCGGAAGAACACGGCCCGTATGCCTGATGTTGTGGAGAAATGTGTTCTTCCTCCATAGCGTTGCATTTACTCCGGGTGGTATATTGGTGTTTCGTTCCTACTGGAGCATGATATGATGGGAGGGCTGATCGTAACCTTTTGATCGTGAATAATATTTTCGTGACGTGGCTATAGCTGCGCTGCATGTGAAAAGGAAGAAGAGTCTGCAGAAATCAGATATGTGACACAAAATCTATATCAAATTATTCAATGAAGCTGGTGCTACGCATTAATATAGCACAAAGAAGGGAACCTACATTTCAAATGGTGTTACGAACCAAAGGCCTGGTTCGGATTGATTATGGGCTTGGTTATCCGTTTTCAAGGTAATGTAATCGTCTTGATTAGCGAAAATAGTAAATTTGTATATGCATTTATCCGGAGACCCTAGAAACTCTTCGAGGGTCTAGCGAGGCTGCGGCTCAGTGATATATATGCAATGGTGAGAGAAGCAAGCATCTAGTTTTAGCGGTGAGGAAACCTACCTGTCCACTTTAGAGGCACCAAACAAATGCTTTAAATGTTCCAAAGTACTATCAAAATGGTGCCAGTAGCTGAACGGGACAAAGTCGCACAAAGATTATTGTATTATTGCATACACACTGTGCTGCTTTGCATGAACGATACAGATTTTGGGGTTGTACAATGCGTGTGACAAGGCCCCTTTTCTCGGATCATATACCGGAAAAGTCCTTGTCCAGAAAAATTTCGGCAATTTGCCTTTTCATAGAACATTAGCCAACCTCGAGGCCGCATTCCTCGCATCAACTCTGTCCTCGTCATCTTCTTCTTTCAAACCCGGCAATCCACCAGTACTGCCACTGAGCGACCTCTCACGACCCACACCCTCCTCTTCACCATTTGCGCCTTCGGGAGTGGACATGAAACTGCCTGAAATGCTCCGGTTAAGTCCATCAGGGCGTCTTGGAACACCAGACCACGAATCACCTTTAGGTCCTTGACTAGCTGCGAGACTGGCTCTTCTTGCTGCTGGGTGTGATTCTCTACCCAACCGGCTAAGTCCACCAGAGGCATCGATCGCTCGTATGTCGGGTCTGATGCTTTCTAAGGTGGCCAATGTCCGTCGCTCTGCTTCAATCTCACGAATCACATATTCTCGAATGCTTAGTCTTAAATCTGTGGCAGTTCGAGCGAACCACCTTTGTTTTTCAAGCAATAAATTTGCTGTAACACGTTGGGTTTTATTGTGAAGATAAACTTCATTGCTGCGTGCCTCGTCAAGAGCTGATATGGCCTCATCAACTTTCTCCCTTCTGACAGATGAGCTGGCCTTTAAGCGGTCCGCGGCATTAAGTTTGCTTCGAGTTAACTGCTGAGCCTGTATTAATTCACGCAGAAGAATATGCCGATTCGTAAGAGTTTCCTTGACGATGAATGCATCTTGAGAGTGATACTGAAGTGGATCGCCAATTGTTGTAGCTTCAGCAGTACCTTGTGCTGCATGGAAATCGCCCGTACTTTGAATTGTCTTTCCAAGCTTCCGGTATGCATTAGCTAGGCCTTGATGAGGCTCTTGGATATTCATTGCGCCTAATTTGACGCCGAAATCGGACTCCGCTAGACCAAGACCTATACACGAATTAGAAGCCAGATACTACACAATCATGTGACAACTTGTACCTCTTCTTGCTTTGACCAATTTGTCTACCTTGTGGCCTGCATCCATTGTACCCAGGTAGAAGAGCTTCACTACTGGCCTTGCGTCTTGTAATTCTGGTGTATCGTCCGGTGGGGGAGCAAACTGTTTGATGACCCTTCGACGAACGCCAGTAGCGGGCTGCTTTCTCTTCAACATTGGGCTGTATCCAAAATCACTCTCAACAAACAAAACCATCTCGTCATCCCTCATTAATACGTCATTAGAGCAAACGTAATTGAGCCATCTCTGGAGAGAAGCTTTAACCCGCGCTTCGTCCTCATCAGTACCAGCACCAGCAGATGTCAAGGCGGGAGGAACTGCGGGAACTATAGCTTCCGGATTCGACGATATTAAATGATCTGCTAATTTAATGAATTCAGAATGCGTTCTTCGAACATCACGAAACTGTGTCGTTCTAAATTTCGGAAGATTGGTCTAAAAAATTTGCTTAGCCCATACCACACAAATGCATGTTTTCTTAGTTGATGACTTACGTGTACATCGAATCGCAAGATAGGATCTTTCCTCCCGGTACGCTCCAGTCCAGTAATCTTTGCTTGTAGCTTGTAATGTGGTGCTGATGCATGATGTCCTTGTCGCGCAGAAGAATGGTGATATCTATGAGGTTCGGATCTATGTTGACCCGCTGGATACTGCTGTTGCTGAGCTGTTTGCTGTTGATACTGTTGTCCCGTTCCTTGATGTGCCTCGGCGTCACTTTGAGTTGATCCAGCAGTATCAGGCCTGCGACTTTCAACGTCAGAGACTGATACGCCAGCACTGCTGTCTGGCCGGTTGAAACCTCCTGCTCCAATCATATCTTCCTGTGGATAGCCTGCACCGCCGCTTTGATCTGGGTTGTACGGAGTCGGCGATACGATATCTCTCGAAGGAAATGTGCTGGTCCTTGGAGGTTGCGGCGAGCTAGTAGGAGAAGATCCCCATGGAGAAGCTCCAGCCGGATTGTCGGCATCGTTGATCGAGGCAGAGTAATCCATGATGATGGATGACGCGACGTTTGAGTGTATAAGACAATAAGCTAGAGACAATAGAATAGGAACGTAGCAATTATGTGTTCAAGAAGAAGCTTTACTTTTAAACTAATCCATCCGGGTATTTCATAAATTCGTGAGAAACAAGTAGAAGATGTCAAGCAATCGATTTGAAGTTGACTTGAGCTTCTGTAGTGGTAGGCATAAACAAGAGTTCCAAGCTTCGGCCGCTTCTGCTCTGTAGTCTGGCCTATTGTTCCGCCGCCCGTGCTTCTCAAAATTTCCCAACCTCAGGCAATAATTACTAATCCATCATTCTCCTCGTTAGTCCTCTCAAAGTACAAAGAGTTTTTATATCCCCAAATTTTTGAGGGGATGGTTTTACTGGTATCAAACAGAAGCTGTCGAGTATTGCATCGATACTTGACACAAGTCATTCGACCTTGTTGGACTAAGCCTAGTCAATTGAATGCGTTCGTTCGCTATAACTCACAACAAACCGAAAGCCATGATGCGTTAACAGAAACAACTCGAAATATTGGTATCATAGCTCACATCGATGCGGTAAGTTTCAATTGTCACATGTATTACTTGCCCCTAATTTTAGAAGGGCAAAACTACTACCACAGAGCGTATGCTCTATTACAGTGGCTATACTCGACGCATAGGAGGTATGATTGCTACGGTCACATGAATATCACGAATAGAGTCTGACGGTCTGTTAGACGTTGATGATGGCTCCACTGTCACAGACTTCCTTCCCGCCGAAAGGGCCAGGGGAATAACTATTCAATCGGCAGCCGTGACCATGCATTGGCCTCCTGTGGCCGAAAATAGTACACCCTCGAAAGTGGCGAAGCCGTCCCGATCACAAGTATCACATACCATTAATCTAATTGATACTCCCGGCCACGCAGATTTTACATTCGAGGTTCTTCGTTCCTTGAGAATTCTTGATGGCGCCGTGTGTATCCTTGATGGTGTGGCAGGGGTAGAAGCTCAAACCGAGAAAGTATGGAAACAGGCAAACAATTACAGTATTCCCAGAATTGCTTTCGTCAATAAGCTTGATCGTGAAGGAGCTGCCTTTGCAAGAACTGTCCAAGAAATCGGATCAAGGCTTCGAGGTTGGCCTGCGGTTTGTCAGATCCCGTGGTGGGAAAGTGGCAAGGGCAAGTTTATGGGAGTTGGCGATGCAGTTGACCTTTGTGCTCTGAAATGGGAAGAGGGCAGTGACGGTAAATCGATTCAACATTTCACTCTTCAGCAGCTGCAGAAAGATGAACCAGAGTTCGCTGACGAGGTCGTCAAGGCACGAGCTGCACTCGTAGAAGCATTGTGCGAGTTTGACGACGGACTCCTTGAAACCTGGTTGGAATGTAATGATGATAGCCTACTCATATCACCAGATGACATCATTAAGAGCCTACGAAAATGCGTTCTTGATGGTTCTGGTAAGCTCATACCAGTCTTTGCTGGAGCAAGTTTCAGGAACATCGGGGTTCAACCACTCCTTGATGCCATCAACAACCTCCTACCGAACCCTACCGAGAGGCCAGAGCCAGAAGTACGACTAGGCAGCCTGCATGGCAGTTTAACCCAGCTTCTAGAAGGAAAGCTAGACCTCGCTGCAGCACAAGAGAGACAGATTTCTAAGAGATCTAACCCTCGAACTTCTCTTATCGCCCAGCTCGAAGCTTGTGCGCTCGCTTTCAAAGTAGTTAATGATCCACGACGCGGTGTACTAGTCTATATCAGGGTATACTCTGGCACAGTCAAGCGAAACACTGCCTTGTGGAATACGAATCTTCATGTTTCTGAGAGAGCCCAGAGACTTTTACAAATGTACGCATCTGATGCGGTAGAAATACAAAGCATTCCAGCTGGTCAAATTGGTGTTATTGCCGGTTTAAAACATGCTCGTACGGGCGATACCTTATTGTCTTATACAGGAGCTCATCCAAAAAATGGCCCGCCAGCACCACTGAATATTCTTCAGTTACGCCCGATCGATGTCCCTCCACCAGTATTTTTTGCCGCAATAGAACCGCACAGCCTAAGTGAAGAGAAAAATGTTGCCGAGATTTTACAACTCTTGTTGAGAGAAGACCCGAGTCTTCATGTCAATGTCGATGAAGAGTCTGGCCAAATGCAGCTGAGCGGTATGGGCGAGCTGCACCTGGAAATCGCCAGAGATCGACTCGTGAATGATTTCAAGGCTAAGGCAACCATGGGCAACATTGAAATCGGCTACCGTGAATGTGTTTTATCCCCTACATCAACTCATAGGTACATTTTTGATCGTGAGGTTGCTGGGAAGAAAGGGAAAGCAGGGTGCGAAGCTAGTATTAGTCCGGATGAGCAGCCGCTAGAAGACTCTGACCATACTATGCATATCGATGGAAACACAATCACAATTCGAATTCCAAAGCCTGCTAAGAATGATGGAAGCGATGGAACCCTGATATTGCCTTCCGACATGACTCTCGCCGAGGTCCATACTGCTTTGCTTAATGGGGCTGTCGCGGGTCTAGCCCGTGGTCCACGTCGGGCATTCCCGCTCCATTCTGCGCATGTGCTGCTAAAGTTCGATACCATCGAAGATGTTTTTGGCTCTGACACTACTTCTGCTGCATTATCTTCTGCATCAAGGCATGCTGTACAAGCTGGTCTCAAGGAAGCGTTCCAGGCAAACTCTATTGGACTAATGGAGCCTGTCATGAATGTAGTTATCAGCTGCGACGAATCATCCCTCGGCGCAATTGTCCATGATCTCTCATCTGCTCGCGGTGGCCATGTACTATCACTCGAAAATGATAATGAGGTAGAAGATCCAGAAGGCGAGCTGTCTCCGGTTGATATATCCAGAGTTTACACTCCTCCAGATCCATTTGCCTCAGAAACCAGCACTGATCCGTCAGGCCCTGGCCAGCAACGTCAAATTACCGCCAGAGTACCATTGAAGGAGATGGTTGGATATTTGAAGCATTTAAGGAGTATGACTGGTGGTAGAGGAACATTTATTATGAGTGTCGATAGATTCGAAAGACTCTCTGGACCAAGAGAAAAAGCTTTGTAGCATGGCCATAGACTGTAATGCTAGGGTTGGAATAATATCCTTTGTGTGTTTGGAGTATTTTTTACCTCGAAAGCCTAGGATATTTTAGTAATTTCCAGGGCTCAACAGAACTTCATGTTCGCGTTCAACATTTTCTTCGTGGTACCCCATTGAAGCTCTGTTTTTCTGGCTCGCCGACCTCTAATTACTGAGTTTATTAGTTGAAAATACTATTTAGCAGACTAGAAGCATAGTTTGAAGCGAGTGTTCGTTATTTTAAGAGCCTTTTGACGCAATGTGATGGCGGTGTTACAATACTCGAGTCTGCTTCCGCGGTAAATTTTTGAGTATAACCGGTATGCAATTTTCACAACAGGCTTCCTGGTTCATTCTCAATATTCACGATATCACATACAACATAAGACTACTGGTACCTTCTCCAACTGTCCGCATCAATTATGTTTCAATCATCGTGACTCACATGATTCCTATCAGCTCTAAATTAGTTGGGCGCCGCAGTGCCCGCAGTAGCTCTAGGTATAGACTCATCTCGACCCTAACGTAAGTATTCGTTGCACATCTATTCAATTTCCAAATTGACGTCACAAAGAGGGAAGAGCCATTGGATCTTCGAGTACAGTAAGTATACTAATGTTTTAGTATGCGGACCATGGCTTAATTAAACTTTTGGATTTGTGACGAGATTTATAGATGTAGTATATAACCTATACAGTACCATTGGATCAGTTCTGTAGAGTAGTTTCTGCTATACTGGTCCAGCTACAACGAAAATGAAATGCACTTAGTATTAGAGCATTTTCGGATTCACCGCACCACAACCCAATTCGGCCATGTTTGTCACATTGGCAGCAAGCGGCCAATAACTCTCCTCACACGGTCCATCTACTCCAAATATTTATAAAAGCTTGCTTCCACCTTTTTGATCTCCTTCCTTCTTCAGGCTTTACGCTCTCTGTGGTGAGTGCAAGGTATATGAGCGAGGCTGTGTTGTCAAATATCTGTCGAATGTCTGAAACTTTTAGTAGCAATGATATGATTTACAAGTGAGTGCAATTGCGTATGATATCATTGTGCTTATGTGCCGTACTGTCCGCGCAATAGGCAATGCAAGACGCTGGATGCCTACTTATTAGGCTTTACATTTTCTACAACTAATCAATCCCCATCTTCAAATATTCTTTCCATTTCCACGCAAAATCAATTTAATAAAGTAATGAAATATACCGAACCTATAATTCTTGAAATTCCTGACTCTTACATGGAGGACAGTAGAGGGTATGCATCAGCTGCGGATGTTAGTGGAAAAGGTACGTTTGCAACACAATTTCGAGAAGAGGAATTTAATAAATCTGAAATAGCTCAGCAAAATTATCCGACAACAGTTCAGCTAATGGAAAAGCATCTCATGATACCGGATCTAGAAGCACAACGGCAGACCTTAATTCCTCCATTAATGCTCCGCCCACTCAGTCCCAACAGGAAGAGCAAAGGAGTGAGTCCAAATCTCTAAAGATATATAATCCATAGCTTACAGTTAATAGATTCTAGTATTAAGCACAGTAGATCTCCCCGTCCTTTCTCCGCTGTGACAGATACTCCTCCGCCCAAACGACAAATGTCCTCCGGTTCAATCACACCATGGATTACAAGGCATGATACCTACAAGGAGGTGCAGAAACAATTATCGCCGTATGGTCTAGGACCTTACGAAGGAAAGGTCGCGAGCGATAAGTGGCTTCCCTTCAGCGTCCAATCTAAGGTCCTGACGCGGGTACAAATCGTTTTAGAAGAAGCTTTGTTCGAGTTTTTAAATACCAATTTCCCGCATGTGTGCGAGAAAATGGATGGGAGGAGATGGGCGAGGCTAAGTAAGTAATTTTTCTGCATTTCACTCTCTTTAGCATGTGCTAACAATAAGTTAAAAAGGTTGATCGAACTAGCTGTTTCAATCATGATCCAGCTTGATGGAGATAAAGATCGCCTTAGTAATCTCCTTGATGGAGAGATATATAATCATAGTTCGGAAACACTGCGGTGTCTTCTTTTAAAGATCTCTCAGATCCGCCACTGTGCTGTTCACCGCACGAAGAAAATCCCGGTCATCACATTAGAACTTATGGTGCGCGATGCAGTATACGTTACCTCATATATACAAGATAAGGAACGAACTGATATTCTAGACAGTATCTGCAGACCACTTGAATCTCTCTCATTCAATCTAGAGGCTAGGTTTGGAGAAATATTAGCCAAGAAAGCACAGAGAAATCTGGAGAGAATTAATAATAAGATAGAGCAGCTGCAGGAACTGTTGAAGGAGGAAGAAATCAGACAGGGAGTGGCTAATATGGAAATGGAAAATATTCAGGGACAGGATGAGGGGATATGAGGGTGGACTGGAGTGTTTGAAGAAGGCTTTGTAAAGATGTAGGCAGGCTGGACGAGAATAAGGTGGTTTAGAGAGATTCATTTTGCAATAGTGTTGCGTGTGATAATATCACATACTATCTATATATCCTACAAATACATTACTTAATATAGATTCTAATTGTTCTACTGCTGAACACTTTCAAACTATGGTTATTAGCTAGCAAGCCACTCCATTTATATTGACAATTCAGCAAGACTATTGAAAAACTAGAAAATTACGCGCTGATTAAAAAGCTACTATAAAGAAATAAGATGGCAACTGACTGAATATCTCAACATCGTCGCTCTCTATATACCTCTGATAATCAAGCGCGATTGATATATCCGAAAATCCTAGTAACGGATATCTTCAAAAAGTAAACCAAGCATACATGATTTTAATTAAAACCTCAAAATCTATTAGTACAATTAAATTATCACAGAATCCAAAACATTTTGCTCGCCGCATATAGTCACCGGGAGTCTTAAATATAGTGACCGCTAAGCCACCACTCCCTTGGCCCTCTCATCCTCTAGGATTACAAATTTACAACCATCAAAATAACTGCACTGCTCAATCTCAAGTTCCGGAGCATATATCATCATACCATTTTACATATTCACAAACATCCTAAAATTTAATGACGCTCTATTTCTTCAAAGCCGAGGAATGTAGTCCCCAGATTAAGTCATATAAGCATTAAAAAAATGAAAACGTGTTTTAATATTACTCATTCTTTCTTCTTTATTCAAAAATGATCATTGGCGCTCGCAGACTCGCGCGCATAAGGCTGACAATGGAACTCGCCCGTTTGCTGACCTTGGCGGCGCAGCCCAGCTGATTAACACTTGAAGTAGGGGAGAGGAAGAACGCTGTTATTTATTGATTTGGTATTTTTTACTTTTTGTTTGTTCTGATCATCATCATCACCATTTCAAAGGTTTGGTAACCAACATGTTGTATCAAATTTATATTCCCGTCTTGTTTTCTCTCATCACATCAGTATCGGCTTATTGGATACAATTTTACTCCGAGCCCAGATGCGGCAGTAAAGAAATTATCCATTCATGGAGCGGATCAACAAGACGGGGATGTCAGACACGATTTTCCAAGTCGACCAATTCGGCACTCGTCACCAATATCGGAACGTCGGATGGCAACACAGTTGTGGTTTTTTACACCTCCCAAGACTGTAATCCTGAAACTGCCATTGCGCGAGTAGAAAATGGATGTGTTGGGATTGAAAGCGTTAATCTTGGGATTAAATATCAGTCGTTTAATGTTATTCGGACTTTTGATTCGGCGGGGCTCACACCGATTTCAAAGAATGCGTTTGCATATCAACATGGTGGAATTGCGCTTTACAAGGGTGTGGAGTATAGGTGGTTGAAGCAGGATGATGGGTCATTTCGAGGCGTTGTCCCTGAGGAATGGGATGATGCTGTTCTTAAGCAGAGAGGTATTACTGCTTCGGTGGGTTGAGAAGATGGTTATGTTGATTCAAATCATTACCATGTGATGAAGCTAGTAGTACTCGGCGCTATGCCCCGAAGCTTGTTTTAGCACAGAAAAAGCTTCCATTCGATGAGCATTACCTTAGCTGAAAGGAGATCTATCGAGGTGTTGGAAACATTGCTATAGTTTTCGACGTCGATTGGGAATTATGAATCCTTATGCGTATCTGAGCGCTAAGAAAAAGGGGCAAATAACGCAAAACCTCTCCTCACCGCAAAAAGCATGGGACCATGCAGGAGCCTCTTTGACGGAACTTAATCATGGGCAAGAGTCCTCAAGTTATCCATCTGCAAATGCTAGGAGACATCAAAGGAATTCGCATGCACAATATTGTCGACGGGGTAATGTTCGAGATACTTAGGAACGACATCATCAGCGACAGTTGCACAGATTTATGCATAGATGACGATATTCAAGCAGAGAGATTGTTGGATGTTTGGTGATTGAGGTGAAAGGGGAGAATTGTTGAGTAACCAATCGCACTTGCGTGAAGACTTGGCCATCACTTCAAGCCTGGAGACGAAGTAAACCTGAAGAACAGCCAACATGGGATAATGATCAACCCCGAAAGACGGTTAGCACTTGTGGGAAACAACTTTGCTTTATAGCCAAGGTTCCAGGTCTTTGGGAGAACGTCGAATAAGGTGTATATCGCATTTTGCCACAAGGACTCATAAAATCTGCGTATCTGCGAACAAAATTCGCGTCTAAATCCAATGTGGTAATTACAGACAAGTTTAAAATCTTTTGTCTTCCTATATGCACCATAACTCCAAATGCTATGCAATGTGATTTAAGGTCTCCTTCTACCAATCGTCATCGTCGTCACTCTCTGCATTAGCCAGTTTCGAACCTCGAATGCCACCCTTCTCTTGACGCTCTTCCTCTTCATCCTCCGCATCACGTCTCCGCTTCGTAACTCTCATATCATTGTCTTTGATAGCTCCAATTTCGATCAAAAGCTTATCAATCTCTGCCATTCCTACGCGTACACCTCCCATAGTCATCAATGTAACCACTTGTTTCACAATGTCTCCTTTGTTGTACACCAGTATTGTAGGACAATTCCTATCTGGATACCCTTCAATGGCCATGTCACCCTTCATCTCGCAGAACTTCACTTCCCCAAACTCTGCAGCTGCTCTTCTCCACAACTCTGTCAAAACCCTACTCTCCACATTCGTGCCCAACCCACTTGTAAGATTGACCAATACTGGAGAATCTTGGCTAGCATCGGTAACCTCTCTCTGGTAGTCAGGCTTCGACAATGGATATACTGCGCCGTGCTTGGCTTTCTTCGATATTGACGATAATTCTGCCATTCGTTGTTTTTTATACTGCTCGAGGAATGCATCGTCCTCTTCATCCTCGAGAGCATCGAGTTCATCAAGATCCTTGCCCTCAAGTCGGTTCTCATGCGCAAGACGGCGTCCTTCCAAAATAGCTTCTTCGATGAGGGGTGTAGGGGAAGGAGGTTTCTCGGGAATTATTCCCTTTGCTCGCAGAATATCATTCCATTCCGTGTCTGCATTTGGATCGTCTATTGGAACATTAATTCTCTGGTCCATAGGAGCTGCCATGATTGTGAAAGTTGAGGTTGTTACGAGAAGTTACTGTATCATTGTGATACCAGAATGTGTAAGGCTTCGAGATATTTGTATCTACTCCGTAGAATCCACGATCTGCAGGCTGAGCTAGCTGGCAGCAAAGCAGCCTTGATAATTGTGGAGGGGCTCGAGGGGTGATCTTATTAATCTTATTAGTCGGAGCAAACAACGCTCAAAACACCGATCCACTTAAAGAAGCACGGCCTTATTTTGCATATGTCAAAATTATACTTTTGCACGTGATCTAACTCGGTTAAATTTTTGGCACACTCTAGGGTTTTCATAGATTTGTTCAATTTTCTCCGCTCTTGATACTCCCAAGTTTTCGACCCATCGACAACACTGACATTTGCTCTCTACGTCTAAGAACGACATTACGACAAAAGACCGTCAGGCCAAAATTCAAATAAAAATTTCGATCACAATCCGACAAGATGGTAAGGAATTCCTTCAATCAATTATTCCCCCACATCAAGGCATCGAGCACGGAATGAGGATAGGAGGTGGAATTGTTCAGTGGGCATACGACAGCATACAACAATTATGAGGAGGAGAACAAGCTCGGAATGGAACTCGAAACTGTTATGCGGTCGCTGTTAGGTTGGATTGAATTGCTGAAATGGAGGGATTGATGGATATTGATGGTTTTGATGAATATTTGATAAGAATAATGGCTGACCAGATTTTGCCACTATAGGTTCTCGCAATCGATCTCCTCAACCCATCCCCAGCTGCTGAGGCACGCAAGCACAAGCTCAAGGTATGCGACAACACCTTTTAATGAATTCTCGATTCGATGCAAAATTGGCGGAAGCTAATAATTTTTGCCGCTTTAGCAACTTGTCCCAGCCCCAAGATCCTTCTTCATGGATGTCAAGTGCCCAGGATGCTTCACTATCACCACCGTCTTCAGCCACGCCCAAACTGTTGTCATCTGCGCTGGATGCTCAACTGTTCTCTGCCAACCAACAGGTGGTAAGGCTCGTTTGACTGAGGGCTGCTCGTTCAGAAGAAAGTAGATCAGATATATCAGCGCTACTTTTCTTTCCGCTTCGTCTTTTCGGTTAATGGCAATGGCTTCATGAGGGTATACATATGGATCTAGTTTTCGATACGCAATTTGACGGATAGAAGATGGACCTCACCCAAAATTCCTTGCGAAAGATCGTGGCAACAAGCAGCAAAGGGGCGTTTGGGATAATCCGGATATCTTGCATCAAATCAAAAACGATTCCCTCATAAAATGATTTATTTTTCTTGTGTACAGGACGTTTGTGATATGATTGATCGCGAACGTAAATACCTACATTGGTGGATATGAGCGGCAGGAAATACGGTTCTACGAATATTTTACGATGACAGAACGACCTGGACTTGGTGAAGACTCGGAGCGTTCTTGAGGACGCTGCGTATTCACAATGGATTTAAAAGTTGTGCTATATCAATCAACGATGATTTAAGATGCCCTTTCCCATGCCCATTCCGTGAAGATTTTATGGACGCTGATTGACTGTGTTATGTTTGTACAAGCCCTCGCAAGCGCGTGTTTTCAATTTATCCTCTTCTGACCCACCATTCTTCTCAATACTGCGATCAGATATGTCAAAATGATATGCCGAGACTGTGTACTCCTTAGCTTGACATTAAACAAGGCCTCCATAAGATGTATAGGATTCACTTGTCCAGATCCGTTTATTATCGTCTGCAATATGCATCATGTTTTGTATTACGAGTGGTGGAAACACATGGAGATTTAGCTCCGGTTCATGCTTCCGGCTCGTCAACCGTTTTATGAGAGATTCTTGAAGATTTTAAAAGATAATCTTTACCCGGACGGTTTATTCTGAACGTCTTTACCGCGACGATTAATTCTCGTCATGCCGAAATTGCAGTGAATATATTAGCACATCAGTATGAGGCGGGAAGTCCTACCACTTGTACTATACTCTTCATGAACGACAAAGAAGACCTTGACTCGATCCTACTCGTAACTTGGCAAGCTCAATTTGACTTGGCTGTGGTGGGTTGGGAACGGGAGGACATGGCACCACCAATTACCGAAAAGCCACTGAACTCATACTGGAAGTTATTGGTCGGGTATCGGAGGATAGATAGAATTTTACTAAAAGATTTGAGTAGCATTTCACAATGATGTTTCTATTGATTTCGACGTCTTTTTTTTTTTCAGAAATTGATTAAGACGACAAATGCATTATATGCACTACATCAACTTGATTAAAGCCGGCACACAGCAATAAGTTCAATTTTACAAGAATTTACCTATTAATATTGTGCATTTATGAAACTTTCACCAATATAAAATTCGTTCCATTCACCGTCACATAATCCCATTTATCAAGATTTATTTCCAACTCAACTAAATCTGTTTTGAACTTTAATCGTTCTCGTAACTGTGCTTCTACCAGTTATGAATGAATCTCTGCCCGCTTCTAGCTGTCCATGGCGAACATCGAGGATAACTAACTCCCTCTATGAAAAGTGTGCTCTCCCGGAAGGGACTCGTTGTTGACCTCCTGGGATCTTGGCAGCATATGCATATATATTGCATGATGCATATAAGGAGCAAACAAAACTCAACTTTTAATTCATTCTTTCCTTTTTGGTATACTGTTTGTTTGCTTTCAATATTTTGATTTCAAAGCACTTTAATTCTGAAGGCTGAATACCTAACCCTATTCCTTCATTTTTTTGAATATATACTCGCAGCTTAACTGCTTAGCTAGAGAATCAATCAATTCAATCTGATGCTCTTTCTGGTCTCAAGAAACCCAATACTCGTAGTCTCTGTTGTTGATCTGCTCGGCTTGTGTTCTTCGGTTTGGAATGACCACATATTTTGATAGTTGGACAGTTTTTTTGTATGTGATAGACATCAGCGGCTGTGGTAGCGGTAGAAATGGAGAGAACGATAGACGAGAAAAGAATCTGATAGTTGTTGAGATGTCTGTTTGTTCTCTGAGCGCAATCATGTACTCATCGTTGCTCTACTTGATTGGTCCTTCCCTCGTATATTTACTGATGTTACGTAGAGGTCATATATCTTTTGAGCCGATCAATAAGGATTGCGTCACATTAAGACACAGCTGCATACTGCAAGAACAAGCTAGTTCTGCTGTTCTGCTAGGAGAGTTTCAGTTCAGCATTACTGGCCTAAGGCGGCTATACCGTCCTAATTTTGGAAAGGCTGCAGAAATTACTGTTCTTATTTGCAGATTTTCAAGCACTCTCTTTCCTAAGTCGAGGAAACTGGCTTCTAGCCCTTAAAAACAAGAATGGGAGGTAGAACTCTCCATGGTATATCCATGGAGATCGAGGGAGACAAAATAGTATACACGAATATTGGTATTTTAACTATTAAATAAAGATGTACGTACCAGTCTCCAATAAGCGGTTTCGATATAACACTCTCCATTTTGGATCAATTGAGACGCCGTGCAATATACTCTAGACGCAATGTTCAGATCAACTCCAAGTCAAATTCTCAGGTGACAATGCCGATCATCCAAAAGCCAGCGCTACACTAGGCAAAGCAAACGTCTCAAAAGTCTTGGATACTGCAGATCAATAAACCAGAGCAACTTTACTGTCTCTCATACCAGATGAAGGATACTATGATAACGTTATTGACGTGTAAGCAACATTGAAGCATCCGGCTCTCATAATGCACAATAGACTCCTTAATTCTTGTTCAAAAGAAGATGACCCACAAAAAGCGTGCATTTATTCTAGTCTTGACGTTCTAGAATTTTCTTAGTCTTGCTAAGGTCTTATGTATCTCCGATCACACTATAGGATAACAATGATTCATGGTTACCTTGAATGAGGGATGCTGGTGCTGCGACGAGAGCATGAGGAAGTACAAAAGATCCCATGGGACACCCGCAAATTTATACAATTGATATACACAAATTCATACAAGACTTTTCATATGATAAGGTAATATGAGAGGTATATCATTATTGTATGTCATTATAACGTGAACACATTATTTCATCCACAGCTTATATGCGTTATTTTATGTTGCCCGAGTTGATCCTCGTTTCTTCGTCATCATCATCATCATTAGCTGCTACCATATTTTCATAATAAGCGCCATGGTTTACCACATATGTTTCTTTGACATCAAGCGCATTCTTTCAATCCCCTCAGCGAGTTGAGATTCATCATCTAGAGCTGCAGATGGCTTCGTTTTTCGACTTCGTTCCCTCGATCTGGCCCTCTTTGATACATAATCTGGATCAAATACATCGAGCGTATCTCCCGCTAGAGTATCGAATTATTAGTAATTGTCTGTGTAGCAGATTCTGGAGAAAAGAATAGTGTACTCACAAGCAGGAAGAGAGATCAAAGTTCTCTACTCAACACTTTGAATTTCCTCGCCAGAAAGTAACCTTAGTGCAAAGCGTTTATTCAATACTGAATTTGGTGAGAAATGATCAGTCGTGAATAAAACTTCTGCAGCTTTAAAGATAGTTTCTGGTCTCATTTGGTGGAACTGCAATGATACCCCATCTGTTGACCTCCTGGGATCTTGGCAGTATATGCATATATATTGCATGATGCATATAAGGAGCAAACAAAACTCAACTTTTAATTCATTCTTTCCTTTTTGGTATACTGTTTGTTTGCTTTCAATATTTTGATTTCAAAGCACTTTAATTCCGAAGGCTGAATACCTAACCTTATTCCTTCATTTTTTGAATATATACTCGCAGCTTAACTGCTTAGCTAGAGAATCAATCAATTCAATCTGATGCTCTTTCTGGTCTCAATAAACCCAATACCATCCTAATTACATTTCCGTAGTTTCAAAAATCAATAGTCAGAGCCCAAGCTTCTCACGTGCACATAAAGCTTCAAGTTATTACACGCGCCAGTCCGGACGGTGTATTCTTCTAAGTGGTTAATCAAGATGAGTCGGCAGCCTTGACTCGGTACTTGAGGTCTCTATGTATTAATTTTAAGGAACTAATTGGAAATTCTTTGCGATCCGATTGTGGTTGTAAAGCACAAGGAGCAGAGTAACGTCTTTCAGCTGGATTTCTCTACTGAATTTGTCCCAAAACTTCCCCTTAAACCACAAAAGAAATCGTGGAACATGACTGTAAGTCTGTAAGTCTGGTGGAACGACTGATATTAAAGAGAAGTAAACAGTTTAGAGCTAAGTCTATCGTATGTATATTGCGGCTGTACTGACCCTATACTAGCATTATGCTGGTTCTCCTTTTGCATCTCGCTTAGCGAAGTGGCTACGTGAAGAGGCATGTTGAAGTTGAGAGAGCACAGTGAGGTACTAACACCAAAGAGCTTTCCGTGTGATATTTTAAAATGCACATCGATCTTTTTCTGCGGTGTCATTTTGACCGCTTTATAAACATTTTCGAAACATCACGCAGCTCTTACCACTGATGGTAGCAACATACTCTTTTATAAGAGCACTAATGAATTTTTTAATCCGTACCTTCTTCTTGTCTGAAATGATACCCGATAATTTATCCAGCACTTTTATGGGTAACAAATAGAAGAAGAGGTGGACCCTCACCAAGTAAGCAATTGAAGGATTTAGACATGCACACATGAGATAATGATCACGTGGTTATACAGTAGGAAGCCAGTAATAATACTATACATTATGGTATCATACACAATCGAGGATTATCCCATACATTCCAATGTGATAAAATCAGAGTTCACGTACACTGTAGATTCTTTTTCCAATCACCGACTTCGCGAAGGTCCTGCACACCACGTTCCACAAGCGCACCCCGTGATCTTCGTGATCCGATTGAATGTGCTCTTCTCTATGGGGGGCTTATGGCCGAGAAACAAATGTTTTTCCATCAGTAGATTCTTCATTACCTCCTCGCTGTCGTCTTCATAGCGATCAAGGTGGCCACCATCGTGATAACAGGCAGGATGGGGACATTCCGGTCCCTGTATCCTTATCTCATTCGTGCTCTGGCTATCTCCATCTATAATATCGATTGCCTTCATGACAAATTGCACCTTTTCAATCTCCTCGATCTTTTGTCTCAGGGTAGTCAAATCCTGTAAAGTGACTGCTGACTGGCCTTCTGCCATTATTTTCTGCCAAATTTGTTGAAGTGATGAAAACACATCCTGAATTCTCTGAAGAACTACCTTCGGTGTACACAAAGTCCCTGGGATATCATCTACCCCTTCTATTCGATTTTTGATTTCCATATTTTCGTCCATATGGTCCACAGGACAAAGTTGTCGTTCGACTGCACTTCCTTTGCCATCTACCCTTTCAATGTTGCTATCCTCTATTTTCGAATGGTACTGGATGTAGTAAATGATGTCAGTATAGGCCTTGCAGAAAACTCCATGAAACACTATTATCCTTTCAATGTCGCGCTTATGGAGCTTTGTGGCGTCAACAATAAATCTATCTCTTGAAGCCAATTCTTCGGAGCTGAAGACCTGGATAGGCGCATCCCCATCTGCTATGAAATTATTAGTTTAAAAGTTTGTCCAGTTGAACGAAAATGTAGGAAGAGATTACATGCCATCAGCATCCGAATCAAGGTGAACCTCTTTCTTGCTAGACCATTCTGAAACATCGTTTTCCTCGTACTTTGATATTCCTTTCCCTTTGTCTTCCGTCTCTCCATCGAGTCTGTGAATGTAATAACATCAGCTACTTTTCACGTAAGAAGTGAAAGCCTTACTTACGTTTGACCTTTACCTGGAAGAGATTCTGTGACCTCCTCTGTGGTACCCTTCCGGTCCGTAACAGTTCGTAACTTCTTACTAGCCATTACAGACTTCTTTTTCATTCGTTTGGTTCGCGCCTTGTGGGATGTCAACTTCGACTGCTGCTGCTGCTGCAGCTGCTCTTCCCTTACGCACTTTATTCCACGCAGGGGTTTTCTCATCTTTAAGTCCTCTACTTTCATTCTGCTATTTCGAGGAAGCCACGTTTGCCGCTTGTAATATTCATGGGCCGAGTAAGAAGCCTATGACCAAATATCGAGTTGGAGGTTGGTAAAGACTTATGTATAGATTCTCCCACAGCAAATGAAATTCGAAAAATGTTTATGAAACATCAACAAAGATCAGATATTTTCAGTCATTGTATTTGTTATTTCACAGAAAGTTTTTCCACAAATTGCAGCACAGTAAGAGTGTATAATGGCCAGAAGGTGCGGTAACAGTCTGCAATGAGCGGGATGCATGTTTGTTAAATCCGGCGAGACGGGTCGGCGCATAAAAACTAATGCTTGCGCCGCTGCAGGGTACCATGTCAATCATTTTTGACAACTGCCGAGGCTTTTCCAAATGCCGGTACTCGGCTCATGGGTATAGGGGAGCTGTCCCGCATGTTCATCACAACAAGGCTAATTATGGTACACTAGCGAAATGCGAACTAACGTGACCGCATGATTAAAGCAGGAATGTCTAATAAACGTTAAAAGATTGACAGATACCAACGATTAGTCTGGTGTGATAAAACTCCTCACTATGTCCTTAACGTAATAGCATGCACCCTTGCGCTGCATATGCACTGAATAAGCAAAAGATGGCTGTAGGTGGGGCTATGTTTTCGGGTACTACATAAATGGAAGCATTCCCCACTCATACATTTCTTTCTTTTCCGACTAACCCGAGTAAAGATGCCCTGATAAAGTTGAGGATCTCGATGTCTCTGCAGCTGGTAGAGGCCGATCAAGAGGCCAGGATGGTTACATGACCCAATGGAATCAATGTTATGTAAGAACAAAACAAATTTCATAGGCTCTCCGAGATGTGTCGACGAGGATTTGGCCTTCAGTCCCACGGAGATGGTACGTCAAACTCAAATCTTTCAGTAGTTGTTGAATGAATCCTTGATTCCCAAGTGCTGGGAAGTCGTTTTGTCAAATCTTTGATGAAGCAATCATGGAAGTTTGGGACTCTTCAAGATCATTATTCTAGCGAATTATGTGCTCAATGTACTGTTGTTTTTGAATGTTAGATATTATGAAATCAGTTAGAGCTGATGTGATGGGTGAATGCATTCATTTGAAATGCGAGGCAAAACTGATTGTTTGAAAATCAACCAACGGCAATGGAGCCACACTACCTCGTCCCAATATGGTAGTATTGGGAACTATTGATATCAAAATAGTATTGATGAGGTTTTAGCATGCATTTTTCTAGGGTGATAGTTATTCTACGAGTAGTATCGAATGATAAGTCAGCCAGCTAAAGAACCACGGTAGTAGACATTTGTATCTGGAGATTTATTTGTGTTCCAACCAACAAGTTCCTGATTAAACCTGTGTTGAACCTTCCATAAAAATCCTTATTTCTAACTTTGTGATTTTGTGCATACACGAAGCTAATTTGTATGACAGATAAATACCAAATGTAGTGTTTGTATAAAGATTTTAGGTCGTTAGAGAAGTATTCGAGTAGAACAAATCAATAAAGCTCTGCATGACTGATGGGTCATGGTCTAGTATTTTGAATTGGATCGATGGAGTTTCTTACCAAAAAAAACACTAGGGAGCGTCAAAAAAGCTTTTTGGGGGAGTTTGAATTTAGAGAAGACTAGCTCGCTTCTAAAGTGATATGCGAAGCTCAATATCTTTATTTGAGGCTATGGAATAGCCGGTGGTTGTGAATGAAGATGTGCTGAAAAAAAGCGATAGTTGAATACGGGGTTGTGGATTTCGAGAAACCAGGGGGACTAAAAGTCCAGCCGAGAAGTTGTTCAATCTAAGTGGTTTCATTTTCCCTTCTTGATATTGGTAAGGTGCCGCATTCATTGAGACCTCAAGCTTCTTTATACTCGAGTTATCCATCAATATTCGCGTCTTTATCATTTGTCAACCGAGGCTTCCTAATTCGGAGTAGATTTTTGTTTTCGCTTCACTTGAAAACAGTCCCTCGGTACCCATGGTGGCTTATTCTAGTATAAATGCCTTAATAATAATATTATTATGAATAACCAAGCCCTCCGTTCATCTTGTCTCAGATTACTCTTGCTGTTGCTGTTGCCTTCTTCTTTTGCATTAAATTTACCTTACCCTCAATTTTGATAAACCTCTAGTTATACAATCACATCAACCTTATTATCCTCATCCAGTCCTTACTATCATGTTGATCTCTGCTACACTCAGAAAATATCACCAAATGTTCGTCAAAAGAACGAAAAGCAACCAACCGTATCATCGCAAGCCAATGAGCTGATGGGATCAGGTTCATAACTTCCAATAATCGCACGAATTCATGAATATTAAACTAAATCGAAGAAAAAGTCCTGCATCGAAACATGTCAATTAACATGGAAAATGACATGGACAACGAGGCAGAGACTATTGGTGCAGAACTCAAATATTTGATTAATAAAAGAACTACGAAAAGAATAGTGTACTATTCAAGCATAGAAAGTGTGTCGGTGATTACAGTACCTATTAGCATCAACCCAACTTCGGGGATTAGCAAGTCTAAGAGACAAACCTCCGGGGAATATCCAAAGCTGGTAAATTTCTGCAAATCTATCCGATTGTGGTACTGTTTGAAAATAGCCATGATACTAGAAATCGAGATGCTGGGTACTCTGACGAGAGAAACTAAATACTGATAGCGGACAGCTGGATTCAGTTCGGAGATATCGATAGTATGTATGTATAAGTCATACTCCAGGAGTTGGAAAAAATAAAGGCCACTCTGGAATGAGCTTGAACTCAAACTTACCAACATGCAGCAGTCTAAGTTTTGAACAGGAAGAAGATAATGATTACTTTATTGGAGTTTCCGCATGTTCACTCTGACAGTTAGTCATAATATTTTACTCGAGTACGATTTCCTATACCCAACACCCAATCATCATGTATGCCGAAGCTATAATTATAAATCAAGCAGAAAAGGAAAATGAATTTCCGTGTCTACATAGTCACATGAATCCACCATAACTATCATACCGACCGCTATTCGAAATTCTAACAAGTTTAAATCAGCTGTGCTATATATCTATCTAGATAGATATTTGAATTTCCTACTAGATCATGCATCTGAATCTCATTCTCCATTAGGTCCGCATCACTTCTCTCATAGACTCTAGAGTTTCTATCCTAGGACTCTCAAGCTCTGTACTGATATATTCGGAATGACTCTGAGGAGAAGTTGGAAAATCTAAAAGTATCCTAATATTATATTCACCAGAAAACTACTCATTTTTGAGTTCCTGTGCGCTATCAGGCGTTCATCGTACTATGTATCTGATTTAGATTTTTCATCTTCACTATCAAAATTCTTTGCATAACTTAGAGGCTTGCTTCTTTTGAAGACTCTGCTTGCTTAATCCCCCAACCAGTCACAAGGACTCGAATTAAGTTGAATTTTGGCCAATCGGATAAAAAGTCAACTGATTCAAATGCCTTTCCTTTTACTTTCACTAGATATTATTCTTAGGTCTTAAGCACAGTATTAGATGTTTTTATATAGAACTAGCTTAACAACTTTTCATGATTACAGGATTAGGTAATCCAGGTGCAGCAGAATTCAAACTGTAAGGGATGAATAATATATAAATACTCGTACTACAACACTCTTTGCAATTGGTTTGCACACTTCACTTCACATCAAGTCCTCACGGCTCTACCCTCTACTTTCTATTCTAAAATCAACATTACCAAACCATCGCACTGCATTTATACCAGAGCCAATAAACAAAACTACCACACAGAATAAAACATCTCAACAGTTGACATAATATCAATACAAAACCTCTAACCTAAGACTTACAACCACACTCCCATACTTCCAATCATAATCCTTTCCCCCCTATAGAGCTCGCCATTCAAACCATGAACCCGTAAACAATTATCACTTGTCAATTGCAATAAGTCATTTGAACCACCTAGAACTCAAACTCAAAACCTCTCAAGCGAAAATCCCCTAACTCATTTTATCCCCTTTTTGAAGGACAAATATCACCAATATTAATCCAATCAACACCCATAATCAAGGTAATCTTACATCCTCCAATATATACATACACCAAAAGCATTTTGTACCAATTCCAGTCCCTCCTGCCCCCAAGAACTATAATATTCATATCCCAACCACCAGTACAAATAAATACACAAAGAAAGCTTTCTATCCATCCATACCCACCCATAAAGTACATCTATCTATCCATCCATCATTCCAAGCAAACAATATCGATACAATATCAATACAAAACCTACCTACCTACCTACCTATCTACCTAACAAACCACCCAACCCAAGCCTAAAAAAACTTCAACTCCAGCTTCTTACCGCATTCATTCATTTAATATCAGCCAAACGCGTGCATCCATCCATCACCATCACCATCACCATCACCATCACCATCACCATCACCATAAAATCCCACCACATACATACAAAACATCCGAAAAAACACCAAGAAAAAAAATCTCCATACAACAATACACCTTCCTCTTCCTAAACCTAGCCCTTTTAAAACCCAGCAATTCCCTCCCTCTACAGCCATCCTCCCATCTTTTCATAAACCCTAATCTCAAATCTCTCAAATCTCTAAAAATACTAACTATATTATTATAGCTATCTGATCTAACCCGGCCTCACACATGAATATTTCAATCTCAACCTCAAATCCTTCTGAT